TGACGCCTCGGCTACATGATTTGCTTACTTCTCAGCCAAGGGCTAAGAAATGAATGTGATAGGCCTAGACTTAGGTTTATGAATGGAGACCTGATATTGGGCCGCTGGTGTTCTACTTAAGTATGCTTCACCATTTAGTGTGACCAGATCTGACAGTTGAAAGAGCCATTGTTGTGTCAACACAAGCTAGGCCAAAGAATACTGTTGCTTGGGGCCACTTGTCAACTTGTTCAACCTTGGAGTAGGCCTATAACATCAGGTTTATGTTTCCTGAATGGAAATCTGATGCCAGATCAGCACATTCAAAGGGGTAATTTCTCTGATTTTTATTAAGTTTGGAGAGCACTGTAGATATGGAGTATCCCAAATTTTGAGTTATTTGGCATAGTGACATTGAATGAGACTTTAGCTCAAACTTCCTAATTAACCTATGTACAGCATGTTAATAGTGTTTTTTGGGAGGATAAGGGGGGAGGGGTTGACATAATTAAGCCCTAAGTATGACAAATTCAGTGGGTTTATGGTCCTAATGCAGCCAATCTGAATTTGTGACATTTACATGTTGAAAGTGGTGCTCAGCCTCAATCCAAACTACATAGAAGGATAGAAGTGACAAAATTTATAATTTGGTCACTCTTCAGTGGCCACTCAAGAGTGGTCAAATGTGCCCATTGACCAATTTCTCGCACAGATGTGAGGAGTTTCAGGGGGAAATTTTATTATCATGGAAAGGAAAATGATATAATAGGCATGGGCTAATACTTTGAAAGGATAATCATGATTGTATCTTTTTGAATAGGTCTTTTGAAGTGAACTTGTATAACTTAAGATTAGGTCTGAAGTTGAGGTAAAACAGATGTCATTTGTGACCCAAAGTTTTTGGAGGCTGTTTATATTAGGTATTGTTAGTCCCAGAAACAGGACAGTTGTTTTGTAATTCTGTTGTACCATGAACCATAATTGTGCACCAAATATAAAAGCAAAAGATATAACTTTTAAGCAATTTTTCAAAAAAGGAATAGTTTGACATAAAATCACCTTCAAGGAATCCCATTTACTTGAGAAAAGGTTCTGATACATTCACTTTGTTATGGTATGATATGGTCTGTGGTATTTTGGATGTTGGTCAGAATAAGCAATTCAACATCAGGAACCAAATCAAATGGTGGCCTTGATCTTGCAGGGCTTTTGAAGCAATAGCTATTGGAGCTAAGACAGTTGGGGGTATTTCTTCCATGATGACCAAGCTTTCCACTTGTTGCTCGAGTAGTTTTCTCCACAGATTGCAGAAATACTTTCTTGAAACTCCTTTTCAATTAGCAGTGTGAGATTCTGAAGATTTCTTATGAGATGAGGAAGATCACCATAGCAGAGTTCTGTACCCCAGTATTCAGTCAAGAAGTGCATTAGGATGCATTGCTTGTCATTTGTCAGCCATTTGGATGGTAGGGTTTCACTGAGTATGATAAATGATGCCTCTTCTGACCTAGATGTTAGTACCTTAAGTAGAAGCTTTGCTTCCATCCTCTTGATTCCATGAAAATAGAATATGCCCCCTTTTGCAATCACTTTGTCTACATTGACAGCCAACTGCATCTGGGAGAGGATAGAGTTTTGTTATCAGAAGCATGGCCATTTCTTGTTTCATCAGACCAGTTTTTTTTTTTCTTGTTCTTACCTGGAATAGGACTGGATCAATAGGTTTTCTGGCTTCTTCTTCCAAGTTGACCTTGTATAAATCTGGAGAAGGTGTCAGGATTTGAGCAAGATTCAAGCTCAAATACTGTACAAAGCACTCAGTGATATTCAGGTTTTCATGTGAGGCCAGGAGGAGGATGAGCCCCTTTACAGTCTTGGGATATGGATCATTCTCATTGATCAGTGTCCTTGAGAGTACATCCCATGTATCATTTTTTTGATATGGAAATTTGCTTTTCATTCTTCTTAAAACTTTTGAAATTGGACAGTGATGATGCATGTCCTTGATGCTGATAATTATATCATGTAGGATGAACTTGGTCCATTCCTGTGGAGAAAAACAACATTTGAAATGGCATGACAATGCAATTTTTGGGATCTGCAAATAGTGACCTTGGAGAATTCTATTCAGATGCCTGAATTTCAAGCAACATTTACATTCTTGGTTAATGATAATCAACTTTCATGTGAGAGCCCATGTATAGTCTATCCTTTCCAACTTTGCTATGCTGTCATTGCTTGTTTTATGGTAGCTCATTAATTTTGTGTTGTCACCTGCTTGTCAAAACATTGGAAGGGGGCTCAGAGGCTATCAGTGGCAGACCCAGGTGTTCCTGGCACTTTTCAGGCATCTTATCAAGATTTCTTAAACTCAGACATGATGCCTCCCCCTCCACCCAGAAGTGGTATGGCATGACACTCTGGTGGAGGGGTCAAAGGGAAGTCACACTTTCCCCTCAGGAAAGGAAGACATATGACATTTAATGACTCCCTTGAGGATTAAAAGTGTAGCAAGGTTGGACTGCATAGACTAGTATCTGTTGTTAAAAACTCACAAGGAAGGCAAGTGATGCTTTGATGATGGTGTCAGTGTAAGGGCTGTCAGCAGTCTGTTTCATTCCAGCTTTTATTTGATTGATTGTCCAATTGCAGACTGTTGGTAGGACTTCCACTTTTTCCAGAAAATGCTCATATCCACTCAAAGCTGCATCTTTGATACTAGTCTTGTTAATCAGCTGCCAGTAAAATCCAAAGACTAACAATATGGTGCTCCAAATGAAGACCTGACAGATACCAGATGTCATTGTTGCCACTGCTGGGCATAAAGCTCCTGTCCCAGAGTTTGTCCAGCAACCTTTAGCTTTAGACATTTGCTTTAGTTCCTCTTGTGGTCTTTGTAGTTTGAGAGGTCTATGGTAGTGTCCTGGAGTTAGTGGAGATGAAATGGATGGGAAACATCTGTATGATGGAAGGAGACTACTCTGGATGCATTTCTCTGAAGTCTGGGTTACAGGTGATATCTGACAGCCTTTGCTTCTAGTTGATGCCCTACGTTTGCAATTGGTAGGATATCCCAGGTCCTGAGTTGATGTTATTTTAGTTGCCACTTGGTGTGCATGTTTCTCATCACTGATGTCAGGGCTCACAACCTCGATCATGTATTGGAAGCCATCAAAGATGAATCTTTGTACTTCAGTTCCTGGGCAGTAGAAAATCTCTCCCTGTTGAAGTGTTTGATTATTGCTTGTTGGTCTTCTTTTTAGAGCTAGTGACTTGGAGATCATCTTGTACTTTGGCTTATATTTCCTATATTTTGATCCTGTGGAATCTGAGCCACCCTGTCTGCTTGGATCTGTTCGTCGACCAGCAATTCTCTGACATCTCACATCTGTTCTTTGTCCTCTCTGTAGGTGATTCCTGTCATCATTTTGTTTACAGTGGTTGTAGAAGATGCGATTGGTTGCTGTAGTGTACTGTCCTGAATAGGGTTTATATGGGCTTGGGTTCCAATTAAACATCTTGTCATCAGCTGAAGATGAACATTCTATTTCTGATGGGGTATTCCTCACATCATTCCATGGATTGAATGCTTGCTGTTGTGTGCTGAAGAGTTTCTTCTGTTCAATGGATGGCCTATTTTGTCTCCTGGATAGGTGAGGGTTAAGGTGAATGTGGGCTTTCTGCATGCTACTTACTAAAGTTTGTTGCTTGAATAGCTTGATGGGGGATGCTGAAAATTTTAGGCAAGTGTAACTTAGCAACTGCATTACTTTCTTTGTCTGTCTTTTAAAGATATTGATCCACATTTTCTTTGATAACATCTCCTAACGCAAACGAATGAGGAGGAAATGTTTAGAGTTTGAAGATGCTTACAACATACTGAGTATGACCTCCTTGAGTGTAGCAGTTAAACTGAGAATGCCCTTCTGGAATCAGGGAAGCAACCAACTTGATGTTCTAGCACTGCAGACCAGCTTGATATTTATACTGACATGCACATGTCTTTCTCAGAAAGACATCAATTCCTCACTTTTGTTTGGAGATAAGAATCTTTGCAGGTGTTAATTTCATTTTTTGAGATTACATCTCTGTAGTTACATAATTGGCCTGTATTTGGAGGCAAGAAACCATGGTATGCTAAGATATTCACATAAAATTATTTGCATATATTGTGGATTTTCATAGGCTTATACTGACCCAATGGTGAGAAGGTTTGGCAAATGTGCTCAAAGCCTTATCCTTTCTTTTAGTCTTTCAGTTGTCACCATCCAGAGGAGAGGGATCTCTCCTACTTGGTTGGTGATATCATTGGATGATATTCCTTGACTGAGGGGTAGGTAGACGCAGTGGAATTGCCACATCCCACTGTGCTTCCGCACTAAGTTTTTGGTTCTTTTATGTGATCTGTTTTGTGATCCCTCACATCCTGTGATCATGAACTACATTGGGAAATTCCTGAGTAATTTCAGGGAATTTTACAATGACTTGAATGCTGCAACACTGACTGGTGCCATTGATGTGATAGTTGTCAAACAGCCAGATGGCACATTCAAATGCTCCCCATTTCATGTCCGTTTTGGCAAACTGGGAGTCCTCAGGTCCAGGGAGAAATTGGTGAGTTGCTGATCTTGCCTCAATCATATTTCCAAGAATTACAAAGGCAAAAAAAGTATTGAAATGTGACCTGTGAATTTGTATTTTTCTTTGTATTTCTTCTTGTATTTGTAGTTGTATTTGTCTTCATGGGTACCATGTAATATGTTGCTGTTAACTTGTACCATATATATCTTAAAGAAGCTAAAGACTTTGATCCTGAATTATATTTGGATGAATTCTGTATGACTACTTTTTATGCTGCTAATTCTGATTGTTCAGAGCATACATTTGGATTGCATACATTCTGCACTTTTATCCTACCATACTGCTGAGCCTTTGGTAATGACTGGTTGAAGATGAAATACCCAACGAGACTTATGAATAAACTTTTCCCTTCATTTATGTCTTGCTACTGGAATTTTGCAACTGGAATCCTGCATTTCACTGGATTGAGGATGTCCTCTTCACAAGACTTGCAAGCTGCCTATGGGTTACTTATTGACTGTCCATTGACAGGATTGACTTGGATGGGGTATTGATGTAGATAAGTTATGGAAGATTGTACTCATGTTTTGAAGTGATGAACTTCTTAATGTCAGATACAAAGAATTTGTCAGTGAATGCATTCCACTAAGTTTTGAAACATGTCAGCTAAGTATTTCTTGCTTCTTGTAGGTTGACATTGAAATCAATGGAGAACCAATTGACATCCACATGAAGCTTGGGGAAACTGGAGAGGCATTTTTTGTTGAAGCAGCAGAGGATGGAGAGGAGATTTTCCCTCCTTTCTTGGCTACTTCTCCTCTACCAGGAAAGGAAGATGAAATCCCTTACTCATCTGAGGTGAGCTTCTTATCCTGTCTTACTGCCTTTGGAGAGAAGAGGGGGATAATACAGTTGAGGATCTCATTTCAGGATTATCCAGATGCAAATCCAACCAATGAGATGCTTCCTTTGAACCAAATAGTAGAGGAGTGAGTTAATATCTCATTTTTCTCTTGGGATTTATATATCCAGTGTAATTGCAGTGATATCCTTTCCTTAATACAGGATCAGTACCCTAAGTGAGTTGTCCAAACAGACTGAGGATGTCTCCAAATCCTTACCAAAGGAAGGAATAAACAGGCTCTCAGAGCCTTTAGAATCAAATGCAAAAAAGAGGCGCAGGCGCCGGGCCCAAATGAGAAAGAGGGCTTCTGAAAACCGAAACAAATCAGATGACGTGAGTTGACCCTTGACATCATCTCTTCACTTTCATATATACTTAACTTTTATAAGGATAGATTTGTATAATCCTTTGTGCTTCTTGTGGAAGAGCAGCATGGGACAAGTAAAGAGGTGAGTCACCGTGCTAGATAAGGATGAGTGTTTTGGCGTGGGTGAGTCTGTTGTTTTCCCAATGACAGGATAAGGATAGATCACCTTTACACTTTTTTCCATTGTGACTCATTCTCCTGACATGCCACCTTGTCCTTGAACATCCTCAGCCGTGAATCATTTTCCCCCTGCAACAGCACTTTTCTGACACTACTGTTCTACTTTGTTAGAGAGCATTGAAAAACTATTTACCTTATAAAATAAGGAGAACTGTTATCAAAGAATTACTTGGCAATAGATATCACCAGATTCTCTAATATGTAGAGATGTAGCTATTAAAATATTTTAAATTATAACTTTTTAATTTATATGAAAATTTGGCTGATACTGGTAATTTATTCTTTCATCATGGGTCATGCTGCTGCTGTGTTAATTCATTTCAGTCATCTGAGTCAATTTTCATGTGGGGTATACAGTATGATTGGGCTGTGATGTAGTACTGGCATAATGATAGGTCTCATGAACCAAAAGGTGCTTCTCCCATGTAATTATTGGATGTCCTGCATGCAAGTCTCCCTTCATGCTTACATTCAGGGAGACTGAAGGTTGGGAAGGATGATTACTGGTACTTGTCTCAAATTAGATCTGAAACCTCAAGCCTTGGGGTTTATTTTTATTTTGGGAGGAAAGAGTGGAATATTCTCACTTTTTGATGCACCTTATTGCACAATACTCACTAGAGACAGTTGAAGAATACTCATGCTCATGAAATGGTTGGAGGACTTAGAAAATGATGTCAGGGTACACCTTTAAACCTCCAATAGAGGTAAAGCATCTCATCTGCATAGTACCATATAGAAACTCTTCTTTAGCTAGCCATCCTTTTGTGCCTGCTTTTCTGACCTGTTGTTTGTTTGCTCTTTGAGTGATAAGAATAAAAAGCTGGGGTGGTTTTTTATTTTTAAATTTTAGGTTCATCTCCACCTATGTCATGTCAGCAAATAATGCTGATTTGTTGATACTCATGCATGTTGACTGATCACCCCTGTAGTAATGGCAATTCATGCTGCAAGTCTACTCAGTTTCAGTTGAGTTTCTTAGCTGCATTGACTCTCCTCTTCAAAGACCGATTTCAACAGCCAGTAATTTTAGGGAATGTATTTGCTCTGCAATGGTACTCACCTTCATTATTGTGTTCAAAGATATGCATGCATGCATGTTCTCTCTTTTTGTGTTCCATTTAGTCTGACTCAGGTGACAGCATAGGGGCAGAAGGAAATCACCCTGCCATGGAACAGCAGCAGTCTGACTTAGGTCAGACACCAGAAGTGGCTATCTTCCCAATGGATGACATAGTAGAGGAAGAGAAGCTCCTCATGGATGTATCTATGAGGGCTGCTTGTCGACTAAACCCTCCCATTGTTGGGCTAGATTTCCATCCTTTCAGTGACACTGACCTTTCTCCCATTGGCAGGTGAGATTTAAAACCCTGCCTGACCTTGCAGGAATATTGCATGTACCAGTTAGCACTCATCATAGCCCCTTGTTGTAGTCCTCATGAGAGCCGGCAAGGGACACCTGTCAAATCGGATACAGAGTATGAATTGAATGAGCGTGAGATGGAAAGAGAAGACCAAGAATGGCAGTGGAGCTGGGGAGAACTTCCAACACCTTCTGGAGAGAGGCATTCTGCGCCACCATCTGACATTGTCATACCACTGAACTCCAGTGCAGAAGGAAGGAATAATCCCCAGGAGGGGAGCTCTTCTGTGGGGAAACTTCCTAATCCAGACAAAGGTCAGTTTTAGAGCTTGAGTTTCTTCTACATGCTCAAAGAGAGACAAGTTCTCATTTGCATTTGATGCAACAGAGTCAGCAGACCAGCAATCCATGCTGGGTGGGATGTTCAGCTTTATGAGACGAACAAAGAAGATAAGACATCAGCCTGAAGCTGGTGGGATCTATCTGGATGACTTGGACATGAACCAGATTGACCCAGAAGTTGCTGCACTGTATTTCCCCAAGTACCAATCTCTGCACAGAAACATGCTCACAGGTGAGATTTTCTCATTTTTTTTATGTTGTCTGATTCATTGGAAACTATGATTACACTGAATCTCTTAACTTTCTAGTTGAAGGCAAAAATGAGAAAGATGAAGATACAGAGAGTGGTAATGGTCAGAGTCTACCACATTCTCCTCCATTGACTGATGGTGTTCTTTGCTCACACTCTCAGCTGGATTCAGATTATGAGGAGCCTCGACCTACAATTGCTGAGCAGCTGTAAGTGCCATCTTGGGCTAAGATTCATGAAGCATGACAAGATCACCACAATGCTATTTTTTGCTGATTTCAGGGGATTTCAAGACCTGGCCATGTCATTGTGTGGAGGATTGGACTCAAAGGATGGACCCCTGGACCACCTGTTCCAGATGAGTGAGGTCACATATGACAGTTTTCTATGCAATCCGAGGCTTCTGGAGTCTCCTGATCTGGTTGTTCGCATGAATGGAAAGTATTACCCATGGCATCATGCAGCACCCATGATCCTCTGTCCTGTCCTGTTCAATTGTAACTTCCCTGTGGTCAGTTCACATCACATCAAAGCATCCTTCCTTGGTTTATAGCTAGCACTACTTTGGACCCCCAAAGATTGCTTTTCACGTTATATGCAGATGGCAGTGGAGAAGCTTCTACAGGAGGAGAAGGCCAAGGCAAAGGCACAGGAGATTAAGAAGAATGAGAGTCGGTCATATTCATGGTTTTCTTGGCGCCGCGGCACTGGCACTCAACTGTCATCTTCCCAGAAGGAGAATGCAGTTGTATGTGGGATTATTTATTTCAAATCTATAATGAGCTCAGTAAACTCATGTTGGGTAAGAAGGTCAGCAACTCTTTTAGGGAGAGCAAGATTAGCCTTGGCACTATTTCTGTTAACTGAACCCTTATCCATATTTACATGCATTGCACTAATTTTAACCTATAGAGGTTTGGTTTTATGTGATTATACATCATTTCCACACAACTATAAAATAGATCTAACCATGTGTGTTTTCCGTTTGTGAAGTACTATGCTAAGGGAAAGGACTGAGCATAGAAGAAGTCCAGAGTTAATGGAGAAGCCTGTCTAGCATGGCTATTGCTCTATTTTCAGCAAATTTACCTACTTGCATCTAGGCCATAAACAAAGAATTTTTAGGACCAGGTGGCTGAGAAATGGGAATCAAAATTCTTGTGTTTTTTTTTCTTCAAGTTTTGAGTTTGTACTGAGAGTAAAATTCAGGTTTTGATGCAGCACCTAGAGAGCTACAGACTTTTGATCTTGACTCTTGTGATTCCCTCTATGAATGGTTGGTAACAGTGACTGTCACCCATAGCCCTGACAATGACCAAAGGAAGGAACATTATACCTCTCCCATCAGGTGTCAGAGTCATCTGCAGGAAAAAAGCCCTCTGAGCCACAGGAGTTACAACTAAAGGAAATGGCAAAGGAATTCACAGCTATAAATATTAATGACTCAAGCAGCAATGGTGGGAATTCCTCTGTGGAACTTGAAGCCCTCTCTGAACCAGATTCTCTTCTTCGGCAAGTTACCTGTCATATATTCAAGCCATTTCCTATCATGAGATACCAAAAACTGCTTTTTAATTAGAGGACAAAATTTGTGAATATTTCACAGAGCTAAAGAGAAGGTGAAGAAAATGGATTCTCTCACTCTCCTCCTCCCTGGTCAAGAGAAATACCGCAAGTCTCTGCGCCTTTCTTCTGAACAACTGGTAAGCTCCAGGGACTCAAATTTGGTGTCTAAAAAATTTCATTACCTGAAAGAATTCTTTCAATGCCTAGGCATCATTAAATCTGCAAGAGGGGGCTAATGAGGCTGCATTCAGTGTCACAACAGCATATCAAGGCACAACAAGGTGCCAGTGCACCATCTTTCTGTGGAACTATGATGACCAGATCATCATCTCAGACATTGATGGAACCATCACAAAGTCAGATGTGTTGGGCCACATTCTTCCCATCATTGGAAACAACTGGGCCCAGTCAGATGTTACCCATCTCTTCTCAAATGTCCACAAGAATGGGTATCGCTTCTTGTACCTCTCAGCACGTGCAATAGGTAAGAACTGCATCTGTGTTCTATTGTTGTCTTAAAGTTTTCTTTTTGAAAGTCTTCTCAGTGCCTATGTGGTTATCCCTTTAGGTCAGGCACATTTGACACGTGAGTACCTTCGCTCGGTGCGTCAAGGCAATCTTTCTCTGCCAGATGGACCTGTGCTCCTCAACCCTGCATCTCTCCTGCAGGCTTTCCACAGGTTAGCATCAACTCTCATGTTAAATGTTGAAATTAGAGTTGGTGTTCATAAATATAAATGAATTAACTTGATCTTAAACTTTTTTGCATCTATGAATATGTTCCAGGGAGGTGATTATTAAGAAGCCTGAAGAATTCAAGATCTCATGTTTGAAAGATATTCAAGCTCTTTTTCCTGGGAACCGAAACCCTTTTTACGCTGGTTATGGGAATAGAGTCAATGTAAGTGCTTTCCTCCTCAATTTGTTGTGAGTGCCTAATAGAGTACTTCTATGGTCATGCAAAGTATTTTTTTTTTTTTTTTAACCTCATAGGATGTCTGGGCATACCGGGCTGTGGGTATTCCTATATTTCGTATATTCACCATCAACCACAAAGGAGAAGTAAAACATGAATTCTCTCAAGTCTATCAGACTTCGTGAGTTTATTGAAAGCTGTCTTTCTCTGTTGCTTTCACTTTGGTCTCTAGGATGTTATGTTACTGCATTACTCCTTCAGGTATTCACGATTGGCATACTTGGTGGATCATGTCTTCCCACCACTGGATGGTTTTCCTTTGACTTCCTCAACCTCAGAAGGCTTCTCCTCATTCCTTTATTGGCGTGAACCTCCTGCGGATCTCTCAGAGGATCCTTCAGTGGTTAAAAGCAATGGTTCTCATTCATCTGCTCTCCTCCACTCTCCATCAACTCAATCTCTTGTTGCAAAATCCTGAATGTTGCCATCGATTTCATAGGTCATGCTTGGTAAGTATTCAGAGATTGCAGTTCAAGCTTGATTGTTAAATTTATTTTGGCTCAGTGCACAACTTTCTCTGTTCAGATCTCAAGACTCGTGGAAGAAGAAAGTCCTCTCAATGGAGTCTTCCTGTTTTTGTCCCCAGTCTTGTGGAGCTCAAGAGTGTGGAAAAATTGTGGTGTTGATACTTTTTTTATGCTTACTTTTTTATGTCTCTTTTTTTCCTTTCCCCCTTTTTACCTTGTTCTTGTGCATGTGCATTTGATTTGCTATGGGATTGTCTTTCAAGTTGAACCCAAACCCCCCCCCTCCCCCACTGTATTGGCTTGTCTTGGAAGGCCTCACCAGAGAAGGGATCTGTGATTCCATTGAGTCTTATCGAATTTGTTCTACATTCCATCTGCCTCCAGAAGAAAGAGGATGTCTGAACTGAAAGGGAAATTTCTTCATTGCATACTGCAGTTTGGACCTATAAGACAGAAAGGCTTCTATTGTGCTGGTTTTTTTCTTTTTTTTGTTAGCTTCTCTAAGGGTTGTTAGAATTATTGAGAAGCTCAGCCATGGTCTTCTTGAGTGAATCCAGTGATCAAATACTGTATACCTCCCTTAGATTATTTGCTTGTCTTGAGAGAAATTTGAAGTTTTTTCCTCACTTTGTGAAGTGTGAAATTTGAGTGCTTGATTCTGTGAATGCACCTTTGTTTTTGGAGCTGGCATCATCAGCATAAATGCTTCCCTTTACCATGTCAATTGTTTATCAAATGAAACTTTAGTGTTTCCTTGAATTGATGCTGAGATGTGAAGTATGGTGTGATTTTAGATATAGTATCTCTTCTTTGAACATCTTGCTCCCAGCATTCCTACCTCTGAGTGAGGAATTTGTTGATCTCACTCATGAGAAATTCCTCATTCAAGTGGTTATTTTTTGCTCTTAAGAATGCTCTGAATCCAGTGACTTCTCATCATGCTTTGATTCTGCCAGCTCTCTTTCATCTCCTTCCTCTTTTTGTTTGGTACCTTATTGCTGTCAGAAAAGAGGTGACTGAACTGAATGCAGTTGAACATTTTTGACATTGCTTCAAATATCTTTCTCCCAAATGTACCATGTGAATAGACGTAAGTCTCCTTACACCTGTAGTGTTTGTATGTGTGTCCCATATTGGGATGCTGCTTTCGGAGAGGCAGGAAAGTTTGTCGTACAAATTCCCTAGAGCTTTAAGAGCTGCTATATGGCTTATATCCAGCATATTTCATCTGAAGCTGGCCAGTGGTACGTGTACAAGTGGTTCCGATCGTGGCACTAGTGTTGGCTGTAGTCATTGAGTTCCCTAGTCAGGTTTTCTCCCTTTTCTCTCTACAGTTGCATCTAGAAGAATTTCCCCTTTTTGTGGTTACTGTTTCTTCTTTTCTCTTTCATAATTGTTTTTTTTTTCCTTCCTGATAACTGTTCTTGTCTTCGTGAAGGTTACCAAAGACTTCCATGATGAATAAAGTCTCCTTTTCCTCCCAAGTTGAATCACTCCTTCAAAGAAACATTTCACAAATTCTAAAATATTTTTCTTATATCCCATTCAAATGGGATGCAAATCATGAAATTGAAGGGCTTGTACAAATTGGGACTACCTGGAGTTAAGCCAGAGAGAGTTGCAGCTTGGTTGGAACCCCTTGTTTAGAACAAGGGGATATGTTTTAACTTTCCCTTCCTGAAACATAGTATTGTAAGCAGTGTCTTTTTTTTGTTTACGGGGATCACGAAACCAGTGTAATTTGCCTGCAGGAAAATTGCTGCAGTTCTGAGTCTGTTCGCTCCAGTTTTCCACTAAATGAATTTTCACGACTTCCAAAGTCGCTCGTCCTTGTCCATCGAACGTGACTTGAAACGTTTTCGACCCGATTCTCTTCGCACGCGCGATCGGCCAATTGATAGAGGACGAGTGTCTTGGTCTTGTGGTTCGTTCCCAACTCGCATCTGCTTGGGCTCCTTTCAGACTAAGCATTTTTGCTGTACGTACTCTAGTTTCCCCCACTCTTGCAGAGAGGAGAAACTAAAGAAAAACGGACTTAAACTCTTCCCTCCTGAAACGAGAAGGTTGTGTCCAGTCGGCAGTCATGCCCGTAAAATATATAAGAACGAGATGTGAGGGCTTCTCGGAAGTTTGGTTCACTTCTTTGGAGTTGGGCTTAGGAGTCTTCGGCGGATTTTGGAGCCGGTCAGTGGCGTAGCGAGGGGGGGGGGGGGTTCAGCCCCCCCAAGTTTGTTTTAAGCCCCCCCCCCCAACTCTGGTCAGAATGGGTCCACCCCCCACCCCGCCGAGAAGTAAGCCCCCCAACGTTCCACTTAGCCCCCCCATTGACGAAAACCTGGCTACGCCACTGGAGTCGACGTCGCGGCGTCTGCTCCTCACTCGAGGGGAGCTGTCGGCTCGAACCGCCTCGTTTCTGCGAAGAAACGCGACCGGACCGTCTCGTTGCCGCGTTGGAATCGATTTCCCCCCGTCTTGGACAACTCGGGAGCAAAAAGCAGCGGGGGCAACATCAGCAGCAGAGTCGGTCGAGGCGGCAACGACTTGGGATGTTGGAGTTCGGCACTTTCCCTTGTGTTCGCCGCGTGCTTCTATATTTGGATCGGTCCGTTCCCATATGACGGTTTCATTCGTCGGGAGGATTAGCATTGAATTTACACGCATCCGATTCCATTTTTATGCTCGATCGGGCTGTTTCCGCATTCGCCTGGGAAGTTGCCGATGCCCTTCCGAGTGGAGCCGGGGGCAGCTCGAATCACGTCGTCCACCCGTGCTCTAATTCCTCCTAAATTCTCGATAGTGGAGGAACCTCGAGGGAGAGTGACGAAGAAATGGTGAAGTCTTCCTCTCGTTTCTTCGCGCGTCCGAGTCCGCGGACCGAGTGCGCCGTCTGCCCTCTGCGGCGTCCGAAGCCACTTCCAAAAGACGTCTCAATTTCATGTTGCCCTTCATCCTTGCCGGTTCATTTAGAATGCTCATTTTCGCCACGTTGCAAGAAGTCCATTCTTAGTGCCCGCTCGTAGCGCGGCTTTTCTTTCCGCAGCTAATAAAACCGAAGAGTTTTATTCCCTCTTTCCGCCCGCCTTCGCGCTTCGACGGAGTTTCTGGCTCGAACGGCCGCAGAAGCGTAGCTTGGATGGAAAAAGCTATGCTCGGGAATTTAGTTACTCGTTTCCCGAGCACTTCATGCGCCTTTTCCTGCTTTTTAATTTTCACCAAATCACCGTCTCCGACCCCGTTGGCGTGTTCTTGTCTTTTTTATTTTTTCTGCTCCGCGAATTTCTTCCTTGCAAGGACCACAATCGAAGGTTTTGCACGAGGTGTGCATTCCGTTCTGAAAGAGGATCGCTATGAAACTCTCTCGGATGTTGTGTTCCTCCATTTAACCCTCAAAAAATGCGGAAAATGTATTAATATTATTTTCTTTTCAGTCCCAGAGCTGAAGAACTAATTTTTTCGGGGGAAACGGAACCATCTTTACTCATTTTGCCATCTGCAATGCCCGGTCGTAAAGTTGGAAGAGCAACCCTGACGTGCACGCGCGTGGTACACATGTTTTCATCCTTAGTTTCTTCTCTCACTTTGTTCACGGAGTGTTTAAACCGGCTCAACTTTCACTGAAGTGTTTTCGCGTCGAAGCCGTACTGCCTTTTGCATTGCCCTCGACGATGTTTGGAAGATGCGACCCCTAGAAGTTAGGCATACATTGAATCTCGTTATAGGTGATACGAATTCAATGTGCCTGGAATTGGGTCTCTAATGGGCTAGGCTATGGGCTTAGGCCTAATGTTAGGCTGTGCAGAGCGTGCACGAGGTGTCATACGTCAAGAAGCATATCACGTGGGGATGAATTTTTTTGTACGTTTAGATGGAGGAGTACATACGCTTGTTATCAATCTTCAAGTTCAATGTGTCTGCTGTCTGGTATTTCGGACTCTGATATGAATAGGCATGAAATAAAGTGCAAATTCAATCATTTGAAACAACAGGGAACTCTCTGCCAGTCACCTTAATGAAAAGAGGTGAAACTGACGTTTTGGAGGTGCAAAACCTCTTTCAAGGAATGAAGGAGCTTGTCAAGGGTTAAACAAAGAAAATAAAGAAATAAAGAAATAATATGTGCAAACGAAATGGTGAAAAAATAATATAAAATACGGGAGAAGACATGCAAGATACAATACAATAGAGAAATAAAAAATCAAAGAATGCCACCAGCAGTCACTTTATTTAGTTCCTGGTGGAGAGCATTTCCTGTTTAGTTGTTTTAAATTCCTTCACTCCTTTTATCCATGTGGATCCCATTTTGGTTGAAAGGTAACAGTTTTGGGGGCCTTCTCTGACTATTTTGCTTCAATTACTTTTTTGCAAGTGTTAGCTTCTCATTACTGCAGGTTGTTACTGAGTTACTGTGATATTCCTGCTACTCAGCCACTTTGTTATTGTGGGTTAATTTATAGTTTCAGTAACCCCCCCTACCTGAAAACGTGCTTTGTCATAGTCATCTACAGTGTTTTTAACTTGACTCAGACACACGTGCATGGAACATTCCTCGTGCATGAATGTCGAAGTCAAGTGAAAAAGTATTTGACTCAAGTGAAAAACGCTATATACAAAGCATCATATTCCTGACAATTTTGAAAAATACTTATCTCTCCTGTGTGTATCTCACCTGTATGGTTGCTAAGTGCTAGAAAGTATTAATATATTTCTTTCTCTGCCATAGGTTCTGAATCTTCCTTCCTTCATACCTCTTATATTATACATCTGGACCAATTTTGGGTATGATAGAGTTCTGTACACATGCTCTATTTCTGACTCTGTTCAAACTTGAAAAAGCATAATGCCCAAATCAAACTCCAAGAAGAAAGACACTGAGGCTTCTCCTAAGAAGAAGTTGAAGGTTGATGGGGTTGAGAAGTCATCATCGTCATCATCCATGGTCGAAGATATTGAACAAGGCAGATTGGAAGTAAGGAATGACAAGGGACTTGTCTTTCCTATATTACATGGATGCTATGAATTCTGCATGCATGCTTCCCCCAAGGCTGAAGTTTGTTTTGTGTGTAATTGTTTTGCATTTAGCGCTCTTTTTGCTACTATGTATTTTGCAACAAGGGAGCACCCAATTCCTGGGTATCTGTGTGAAAAAATATGGGATCACTATTTGAATCATGTAGGTCTGCTGTGATGGATAGGTCAGTGTGAGAGTGAATTTCTTTTGGAGACATGCAGGATCATCTTGACATAGGGTAGTGGCACCAGTTAGTGAACAGGGAGCCAGCTAGTGAATGAAGGTCATGAAATGCATTTTGGCCTTTTGTTTCATAAGTTACACAGTCCAGCTTGTGGTATCTGCAGAAAACTGATTGATGACTTAATGCTAGGGACAAAGTGTGAAACTAGAGTAACACTGGTTCCCTGTATGTTAACCAGTGGCGGCTTGTCAGGGTAGGCAAGGTAGGCAGTGCCTACCCAGTTTACAATCAGAGTTCTCAAATTAATATTTGATAATTAATTCATCGATTAACACAGCTGGAAATATTTTTTTTCCATTGCGAGGTAAAAGCAAATCGAGATTATGCATCCAGAGTAGGCACGGTGCTGCCTGCCTACGCTGGCTAGGCTCAAATTCCCTCGAGCCCAATGCAGGAATGAGAAGAGGGAGAAAAGAAAGAGAACTACAACACTTGGCGGTGACCACACCCCCCCCCCCCCCCCTTTTTTTTTTTTTAGTCTGACAGACTTTTACACTGACGCTGAGGAGAAACTCACCTGTCTTAAATCTGTTCGGGTCAAGTCAAAATAGAAGGGTTGAACTCACTAAGAAAAAGGTGAATATGCAGTCTATCGATATCTTCGAAAGCACTGATGCTCTTCAATTCTCAACATGGCTGCGTCCATACATTTTTCACCGTGCCTAACCCTTGCTCTAGGCCTACTCGTTAGTCAACTTATATGAGCTCAGTTTAGGCCTAACTTTAGCTTTTCTCTACGCTATATAGACCTGAACTCTACATACTGTTAGTCCTTGAAGTCTGATGCAGTAAGCTTGCTAAAGTGAGAGCAGTACAGGTCTGAATAGAACACCATGGATTCTTTCCATTCTTCACCCATACTACTTGATTGGACTCGCATTGATCATGTGTCACACACTTCACTACACGGTGCCAGTTAAACTTTCAAGATTCTGCAAACAATGATTGATCAAAATCTAAGCACTAGTGAACCTGTGGCAGTGTTTGTCTCGTGGGAAGCAGTGTACTAGTAGGGATCCATCATGAGGCTCCTGGGGTCCATAAGTCAATGATCAGAAGAGCAGGTTAAGTAGGTAAAGTAATACCTGTGGGAAGAGAAAAACAAGAGTAGTATGCATCTGAGACATTGCCAACTGCTTGGAAAGAAGTCCCTAGGGTAGCTACCTGTAAGTGCATCCCAAAATACTTCTATTTCTTTACTTGTACTTACTTTTACTTTTTTTCTCCTACAGTCTTGATCCTCGCAGGTCTTGGTACCAGAGGGTACCAAAATCAGCATATCAGCTGAAAATGGAGTCTTTTTGCCTATCTGGATTACTACCAAGGTGATAAAAATTCTTCCAGTGTCACAATGAGGTCCAAGAAAAAGCACCTCCTTGTGCTCCTTTCCATTGCTTTCTTACTTTTCTGCTACTTTGGTGCTCACCGACTAAAAAGAAGGGAGAGAGCATGTGATCTTCAAGAAACGCTGCCATCATATCTCAACCCATCTGTGCCTTCTGTGATTTTCAAATCATCATATTCACATGAAATTAGGACTACCAAGTGTGACTTGAAAGAGTGCTTCAATTTCACTGCATGTTTAAAGAATGGGTTTCGAGTGCACGTCTACCAGTCGTCGGTAAAGCCTGTCAGTGACTCATATCAAAGAATATTAAATGTCCTAAGGCAGTCCTCATTATTTACGCCTGATCCTAGTCAAGCTTGCTTATTTATCTTGGACATCGATACTCTTGATCGTGATATCTTGAGCAATGATTATGTGACCGATGTGCCTTCACGTTTGAAAAACTTGCCACTGTGGAATGGAGGAATGAATCATGTTATTTTCAACTTCTTTGCTGGTGAGGTTTTTGCAAAATATTCATGATTGGTAATTTCATGCAGCAGAGAACATTTCTAGTCACGTCTCATATATTGCCATTTGGTGCATGTATATTAGGGACATGGCCTGATTATGAAGAGGATCTGGGATTTGACACAGGAAAGGCAATCTTGGCTAAGGCTTCCATGTCTCAAGAAGCTTATCGTGTGGGATTTGATATCTCTCTCCCACTTGTGCATTCTGAACATCCTGAGAAGGGTGGTGAACCAGGATTGGCTAGTGGCATGAATTTCCCTTTAGAAAAGGAGTACATCATTTCTTTCAAAGGTAAGGTTTATGTTTAAAGCTCTCTTAGACAGGATCTCGTCTTGTTACATTTGAGTCAGATAATTTTACAGATATCTCCAGCACTTGCTCAGACCTATGGCATTTAGCATACTGTTCATTGGTGTCAGAGTCAATTGAAAATACCTGTAGTACAAGATTGTTTACTCTGTCTGATGAGTCCATTTAATTTGCTGGGTACATTTTTAATCATCTTATTTCTCTAGGTCTCCATTCTTGCAGTTTTTGACATACCCTGAATTATGATTTCCAAAGTAAGAATAACATGAAGTTCAGTGAAGAAGACAAGCACATGGTGAAATAAACTGATGATGTTTTACCTTAAAGAATGCAGAACACTGGTAGTGACACATAAAGAGGAATTGATTAAGACTTCAATTTCATCATGGCTGCTGCTGTCTTCACTTAACCATGTTGGGGTCAAGAAAGTGACACACTCAAGAAGTAGTTGTGCAAATATTTATCATTCACTGCAATTTTCAAAACTTCAAAACTTTATTTTTGCATTTTAAGCCCTGATTGACTTTTTCTCTATATCACAAATTCTCTTTCTGTTTCAGGAAAGCGTTACACCCATGGTATTGGCTCAGAGACCCGTAACAGCTTGTTCCATTTACATAATGGAGAAGATATTATCTTTGTTGCCACCTGTCGTCATGGGAAGTCATGGAAGCAAACCAAGGATGAGCGGTGTGATGAAGATGATCTAGAATTTGAACGGCAAGTATTTCTCACTGGTGCTTCCTTACAACTCATGCATAGCACCTATTCACAATCTAGTGCCACTCCCCAGCACCATCTAGTTGTAGTGTGTGGTCTGCACCAGTATAGGTGCCCCCTCTTCTACCAACTTCATTGTATCAGAATTCAAGTAACACAGTTATATGGAATATTTGGTTTTATACAGTAACATTAGGAATCTGTACATGGCAAGTGTTCCTAAAGCAAGTTTGTGTGCTGACTTAGGCTCAAGAAGGTTGTTGGAGCATAATAGGATCTGACTTTTCTTGTTTCAGTCTGATAGACAATGTTGAGCTCAGCTTTGATAGGAAGGTCACTCAGGCCAAAGCCTGAGACTCAAATGCAACTGACTAGACTGACATTTTTTTGCTTTCATTTTTTGTTCACCTTGCCAGAGCCATATGATCCTACATCTCAATTAGCAGTAAAGACTAAAACACGAAATGGCAAACTCTAGCCTCTGTGGACATGTATGGAAATGTACAAAACAGAGGAAAACATATTTTCATGTTAATGAAAGCTACTATGATATCCTCTTTGAAAGTGATGCAGTGCACTCTGAAGGTTACAATAACGAGATTTAGGCCTATATTTCAATCATTCCAAAGTCCCAATAGCATGTGTTCTGCAGGTTTATGTTGGTTTTATAACAGTTTGTAAACATTTGATTGGTTCTTTTCATTTGCAGGTATGATTATCAGGTACTGCTACAAAACTCTACCACATGTCTTGTTCCACGAGGAAGACGTCTTGGATCCTACCGCTTTCTCGAAGCTCTCAGGGCTGGCTGCATACCTGTTGTTCTTGCCAACTCATGGGTGCTACCTTTCTCAGAAGTTATAAATTGGTCTCAGGCTTCTCTGATACTCGATGAAAGGGACCTACTCCAAGTGAGTGTTATTCCTTCTCACTTATATTTCCATGTGAAATTCAGCTGGCTGGCTCTTGGTGAACCAAGGTTTGGCAATTTTTTTGCAAGTGTTTTTTCTCGGCATTCTCCAATGGAATTCTGTAGTTGAGAAACCCTCTAAAATTCACTGTAACTACTACATAAATCATGATGTCACTATAGCTCCTGGAGGCCTCCTACAATCAATTGATGATCAATAACATTGCCCTCATTCCTGCTCATGTAAATCATGCCTCAATTTGACAAGTGCACAAAAGATTAAGTATACCTGCATGCTTTTGTGATTATTTTAAGAATAATCTGGTCTACCCAATAATGTGAGTGCATTGTCTATAGTCGTGGTTCTCAAACTTCTTTTTACTCCCATAGAAGCTCCATGGGTTCAGTGATCTGCAGACCATAGATTGGGAACCACTGGTCTATTGGCTTTGGATATGGGGAGGTGCATGGAAATTGGCATTCTCTTTAGCCCTGTAACTACTGTTCTGAGTCCAATGAACCCCACTACAAAAATTCAGCCATTTGTGTGGGCTGCTCTTTAAACTTGTAAAGTCTAATGCTCTGTATTTTCATGAACACTTGTGATAGGAATTAGGCAAAGTATTTTGAAGAGGTTCTTTGGGAAGGAAAAGATGAAACAAAGAGTTACAAACATGACCATCTTGATCTTGGTAGTTATGGTGTTAAACCAGTAGTATTTAGCCCTATGTTCATTGCATCATACACATTAGCCCGGTGAAGTACTTTTTTCAGTTACTTGATGCAAAGTAATGAGCCTGTTTTACAAAGCCAGTGAAAAGGAGCATCATACCAAAAAATTAGATATTTTTTCTAGACCAATAGGATCAAAAGTTCCTCAATTTTTTAGATCCATTATAGGGAAGCATTAACTTATTGTGACTTGCCTTCTTGTGGGCCTTATATCCTAAAATAATTGTGCTAAGCCTATAAAATAAGAAAGCTATTCCTTTACTAGGGAATGGTCTGCTTTATTTCAGGTTCCCCAAATCATACGTTCTCTATCCCAAGAAAAGATCCTAGCCATGCGCCAGCAGACACAATTTCTGTGGGAACGATACTTCTCATCTATGGAATCCATAGTCATGACTACTCTCAAGGTAAGTTTAGGATAGTATTTGTGGTATTTTGCATGACAACTGTTGATCATGTCTGTTGCTGGTTTGTTGATTATATAGATAATTGAAGAAAGGATATGGAGTCATATGAAGCAGGAAGCAGTGATATGGAATATGCCACCTGGAGGGATATTTCATCAATTGAGTGTGTCATCCTTCCCACCCATTTGTCCAATTTGTGAGACTCCTGACTTGGAGTTGGAAGAGGGGTTCACTGCACTCATATATGTGACAACAAATCCTGCATCCTCAACTGTCCCATTCTTCCATCTTCTTAAAAATGTTCTCAAGAGCAGGAATCTCAGCAAGGTATCCATCTGTCCTTTAGTTCTCTTACTGCTGCTGTTGGAGAGGGTGCCTTCTATGACTTATAAAGACATCCTCCCTCGGAAAGTTCTAACAGAAAACAATCAAGTTTTGGATCATGGTCCCATTCCCAGATTGTAGTACTGTGGTGTGCAGATTCAGTTCCTCAAAGAAACCTGTTCCCAGTTGTATCTGAGTCCCTCTTACATATCCTTGTTCCTCCCTTTTGTTCTGTCTCAGCCCGCTTTTATCCCTATCCCATCCTTCCTCATGGAGCTGTGTTTTCCCTTGATGAAGATGCAAGTATCAATTCAGATGAATTGGATTTTGCCTACCAAGTTTGGAGACACTTTCCACAGAGGATCATTGGCTACCCTGCCCGATCTCACTTCTGGGATGATGCCAAAGTATGAAAGAGTGATTTTTGTGTACAAGAATACTTTCTTGGTAAGTGAAATCTCTATTTTATGTTTAATATGTTTTTCCTTCCAGAATTCCTGGGGATATACAAGCAAGTGGACCAATGATTACAGTCTAGTGTTGACTGGTGCTGCCATCTACCATTCCTACTATCACAACCTCTACACCCACTGGCTGGATCCAGTCCTTCGTCGCACTGTTGATCAGGCACAAAACTGTGAAGACATTTTGATGAATTTTCTAGTGGCTCATTTAACCAGGAGGCCTCCCATCAAGGTCACTCGACGGAAGCAGTACAAAGAAGATTCACCATCCTTGAGCAAGTAAGGATAGATCTTGGATTTCATCACAATTTGCCTTCTTGTAATTGGCTCTTACTGGGCTAGCATGGCTCTTAGCCTTGTGCTGCTTAATGAAGACATTCTCTGACTGTCACTATAGAAGCTATAAATGAATTTTCTCTATCCTTTCTGTTCTGAACTTTGATGTCTTTTTGTAGGTCCCCTTGGAATGACCCAGACCACTTTGTGCAAAGACAAAGCTGCATCAATACTTTTGTAGCTGTTTTTGGGTACATGCCCCTTATCAGGTATGAACATTTAATTGACAACTGAAGCATGGTATGGCTACACTCAACCATTGGATTGACTATTTTCTATGTCTGCCTTCTAGGTCCAATTTGCGCTTGGATCCACTTTTATTCCTAGATGACGTGAGTGTGATGAGGAAAAGGTATAGATTCATTGAAAACGTTCATGCTTGAAACGTTCCAACTCCCTTTTTCAGATTACAAGAACCTCAGAGACTTCTACTTGACTTTACTGCTCATGCTTGCATTGAATAGAATGATTGCAATAAAAGGTTTTTTTTATTGGAACCTATGGTCATTGTTATTTTGCCGGACTGCATCCCTGGATGAAGGAAGAGTCGCAATCCTACTGACACACTCAGTGGCGTAGGCAGGAAATCGGCAAGGGGGGGGGGGGGGTTGAGGCCAAGTAGATACCCCAACCCTACGCCTAGCTCCACTACCCGGATTTTACCTTTTCAAACAAATCATGGTCTGGCATCTTGAGTCTGTGGACGGACATCAGACTTTCCTCGAAGGGGCATGGCTAAAATTGGAATTCCCAAGGAAGGTTGAAATATGCCTGTCAGTGTCACTGACAAGGAACCCCAGGGGGGGGGTTCTAACCCCCTAAACCCCCCCCCCCCCCCCTTCCCTACGCTACTGCACACTGTGTATTATTATACTATACTCTCAGGAAGGAAACTTATCAGCGAATGAATTTCTTATGTTCGCACTTGCACATTAACTCTTTGGTTTGTTACAAACAAATATTCAATAATCAACAGTGATTGTTATTCAGACCATTTTTCTTGCGAGTTTTCGGCTGTGCACAACGATGGGTAATTATGGCGTTACGGTAATTTGTTTCCTTTCAAGTGATGAATAGCTGTTAGTAGGGCGATGTACGTACGGTATATGGACATTCATCCAAGAAACATGTAATGTGCCCTGTGGGAAAAGTATCTGGTAAGTAGCTGTGTCAACGTTTGCCTTTTTCACCCCATTCCTGGTACTAGAGTCCTTTTGCAGTTTTCAAGTGAGTTACGAGAGAAACATACCACTTCGATGTTTCGGACGTGACGCGTAATTGCTTATTGCTTGTTTTTCAGGACTTCATAACTGTTGAATATTTGTAGGCACGACGTGGAAAAATGTACTGCAACTTTCTTAACATCGTTTTTGCCTAGAAACTCTTTCGTATCCCTACAGTTGCACCATCGCCAATGGCTGCTCAGAATGTTGCAACAATCGGGCGACTCTGAAAATAATGACTTGTTCCATAACCCATTCCCTGGGGCCGCTCTTTACCTTATCTTTCCCTTGTTGGGGAGGATTTTTCAGGAAAAAATGAAAATTCTTATGTCAACATATTTCGGGATTTACATCAATATTTGGGGAGCAGGCCGGTTATAACAAGAGAAACATGTTAAATCATCATATAGGACAGCTTTCATCCCACTTGCCTCACATTCTATTGGCGCTGAAGTCCAAAAAACTGCAATTCTTCGTGGGATATTCTCTGAATATCCCACAATCACACAAAGCGGAACATTACAGTCGCTACACTGGTAGATTTAAAAAATCTTTTTTTCATGACAGGCACGGCGACCCAGCGTTTTCGGGTGTGCTGCATATCTCTTGAGGCTGGTAGGTAGTTGAGAAAGTACTTTGGAAAAAGTCTGGCTGGAGTGTCGGAGTTGGGTCTGTTGGGAATTTGATGGACAGTGCTTCCGCAATACGTTTCAAACAAACTCTCGACTAAACTCGACTTAGCTGCGTAAACATCAGCTGATCTATCAATGACACGTGACACAACCCTGAAAATATCGTGTCTCATTCTGCCATGTTAAGCCAGAGCTTCGAGAAGTAGCTCAGAATCGGCCGGAGGTGAGACCTTCGTGTTCCATGAGGAAGGGATAAAATAGGCGCGCTCCACATTGCGAGGAAACCGCGATCCGCGTATGTGCGCTCCCCAACAAGAGAAAGTCAAGGGTTAAAAGGTTAAGGTTGTTTTCGCATACTCTACGTCAGGGGTGTCAAACTGAAATCGGTCGGCGGGCCGCATTCCTTACCCTGCAGATGCCTGCGGGCCGCACCCATAAAATTTCACTGAAATTTGTGCTGACACTCAGTCCATGCGGAAAATTTCAAAAGCAGACGGCGGGCCGGATGAACCACCTCTGCGGGTCGGATCCGGCATCCATGTTTGACACCCCTGGTCTACGTGGTGGACGAAAGCAATCGAGACTCAATTCGAGTCCTATTCGAAACCAATTTAAGATAGGAGTGGGATTCGTGGGGGAATTATTTGAATCATGTATTGAGCTTTTGACCCTTCTGATTATCATTCCATTCACCTTTCCCCCGGAAATATATATAATGATAAGGAACCTATTCGAAATCTTTCGATTTACTATCTTGAAGCTGGAGGCATGTGATGGCAATAAATTTCACCGATTTAATCATCTATTTCTGTGAAAAATCTATCGTTCTCATTGTCAACTTCGTCGCGCAGACCCGAAAAGGATTCCTGGAGCATCGTCTCGAAGTCACGGGTTTAAATTTCCAGCCAAGTTGTTTTCCAAGGTGATCTTTATTCCTTTCGTGCAGCATTCACGATTCTCAGGCTCGACAGGAAATAATCTGGAAACGAATGGTCTGAGCCTCATTGGTTCGTTTTCCCCTTGGTTCTGCTGCATAATAGCATCGGAGTATTTCAATTCGACCACGACGACAAAAGTGCGAGAAAACAATCTATAAAATGTATGGGATAAAACAGTTTCAATGGTAGCCAGCGAAGGAATGAATGAAATCGGCGACTCGGGTGTATACAATCGGATCCGGGTCCTTTTTCACCTAGACCATGGCCTACTCCATGGAGGTAATCGAGGTCATGGGAGGCATGACAGCCGTAGGTCCAAGACACCTCACCTGGAGACACCCTTCCGAGCGTCGTGTATCGAAAATCTGACGGATTGGAGGAAGCCGTCGGTGCCGCGTTAAAAATCGTCATCGTATCCGCTCTCGTGGTCCTCGCTGTCACTGCTCGCTGCTCGCTGCCTGTTCCTCGTGTCCATGTTCCTCGCTGTCACTCGAAGCCTGTTCCTCGTCTCCGTGTTCCTGCTGCTCGTATCCGTACCTGTACCCTTGTTCTTGCTTCCCGTAGCCGTGGGGGGAGCAATCGGTGGGAAATCCGACATGGGCCAGGCAAGCTCGGTCGCCCTCGACAACGAAGGCACATTCCTGGGCTCGTACACTGTTTTCGGATTGAATTGGTACCCCCCTACTGTAGAGAACGGAGAAAACACAAGCTTTCCAGACGATCCTCAAGATGTCAAGCCTGATGCTCCACATGGTTGTTGGATGGTTCTGCTAATACTTCACTTTCCTCNATGCTCCACATGGTTGTTGGATGGTTCTGCTAATACTTCACTTTCCTCCCACAAGGTGTCCTGCCTGTATTTGATGGAAGCGCTCCTAGGGGGGGGGGGGGGGGGGGTACCAATTCAATCCGAAAACAGTGTACGAGTGGCTTCTAACAGAGATCCAGCTCATGTTGGCACTCTTCCTTCACCGTCTTCATGTGCGCTTCCTGCAGGATCCGAACATAGTCATGGCGAGAATAGGACTTGGGGTGATACTGCTTACCGTATCCGTATCCCAGTTCGTCTCCCCACTTTCTCTCTGGAAGAGGAGTGACGCGCTCGATCACCGTCTTCTCGGGTGTCTCATTCCACCCTGCCACATGGACGATTCTCGTACTTCTCGTCGTACTTAGACGGAAGGCAGATCGTGTTCATGTGATGGTAGCCATAAAAATCGACCGGCCTTTCCAGGACCATCACGGCCACGTCCCACTCCCCGGTGTGAGGATCGATCTCGAATGAACGTGGACTCCTTTCACGACGACTTCGACTTCCGGGTACATCTCGACCCTATTCACCCCCAGAATGTCCCATTTCCCGAGATAGGACGGCTCTCGCCCGTTCACGCAGTTGGCTGCCGTCACCACGACTCAGTCGCTCACCGGGGCGCCGGAACATGGGAACTGGCGCTAAGGTCCCTCGAGGATTGCTGCATGCCAGGGGTTGCTCTGCAATTCCGCTTCACTGTCTTGGTAGGATAAATAGGCATTGCGGGTGCCGTCGCTCGAGGCTTGGCCGTAATCTTCCCCGGGACATTCGAATCCCTGACAGCTGAAATACCGACGCTTCCTCTCCCGGTCCTTTTTCACAACTCCACACAAAAAAAAAACAAAGGAAGGGAAGGGGGAGAGCACATTCATAGAAGGAAAAATGATAGAGAGAAAATTGTTCAGGGAGCTTTCTTAAGAACAAGATACAAACAGATGTTGCTCAACACCGCCAAGGCATCAATAAAACTCTTCCTGTGCGGATAAGAGAAATGTCGCAGACCTTGCGGCCGTATCCGGATCGAAAACCGGAATTGCAGCTTTAGTTGGCTTGATACCCACATTGTGATGATGCAACCGAGATCCTCACTAAAAGTCAACACGACCGTTGTTGTAACGGTCACAGCTTCGACATCGCCACCTGCGGCGAAAACTCCAAGCACTCTCAGATGCAAACATTCGCTCCTTAAAAAACCAGAAAGGAAGTATTCCGTACCCTTTACATGTCCTTGGGTGGGAGAAAACTTGCTTTCCCCGTCTGGCTTCGAAATGCCCTCAGGGCATGGATGACAGCAGAACAAGGTTCACGGGAGGGAACGTCGCATCCTCGGTCCTATCAATCCCTGTTTCCTGACTCTAAGTGTACACCGTAACCAAGCGTAAAACGAAATATCCTTTTCTGTGTTTTCTGTGCTCACATCTCACACTCACGCATGAACTCCATAGGTACCAAGATTTCTGTGTGCATCGAGTTTCCCAGGATATCCTTCCCGTTCTGACGAGTCTTCTTACATATCAATATAGAGGGAAATCTACGAAACCGAAGCCGACAATTGATAAATCACTGACAAACCCATCTTGTCCCAAGGGAGTCAGTGGTGAAAAGAGGGTCACAGGCATTCAAATACCAATAGGGGAGAGTGGTCGAATATAGGCAGATCGGGGTATTAAGGAGTCCCTTCTTAAAGCATGCCTATTGTAGCGGTGACGTTGAAATGGAACAGAAGAGAATGAATCATCGTATGTGAAAGTCCACAGAGGCTGCTTCCGAAGTAACATGCTCGTAATCTCTACTATATTTATGAAAGTTTGTGTGTCTATCTGTTCTTTATGCACGGCCACGCCTCTGATCCCAGTCCGACCAAACTTTGCATGGCTTCCTCATTCGGTCCGGGGATGGTCATAGGCTAGGTGGCGTTTCAAAATTCTGACTCCCCCCAGGGCAGGGCCAGCCGCCGAAGACGCTCCCTGCCTCCAGGCGGTCGCCTGGGTCGCCTGTCCCTAAATCCGGCCCTGCCCCGGGGTACCTCATTAAGTGTGGACAAATATGGGACCTATACAATTTTCACCCGTGCAACGCCGGGTACCTCTGCTAGTGTAAAATAAAGTAGTAAATGGAGAAGCGAGAAAACTCGCTTCGTCTACTGCTTAAGCTATTTAAACCATTTACTGAGCTAAAAGTTGTGCTTAGTTGGTGATAATATTCACTTGTCAGCCTTATATATTTACTAAATAATGCGGTGATGTAAAAAATTTCCTGTCTTGATACTTCCTGCTCTTCTCCCATTTCTTATGAATTAATACTCGTTGGGTTATTTATGCATTTCATGTCCAAATATCCAAACCATGGAATACTTTTTTTTCTCACTGATTGAATGGAAGCTTAAAAGTAGCAGAATCATGAAGGCAAACCAATCCGATGACTCATTCGCTTGCAGATGCCATACTATCCGTCTCAGGGAGTGTTAGAATGAAATTAGTCCGTTATAGCCGACAATCAACCAGTCTTAAAATTCCGATTCGTGAATACGGCCGGGCTGCCCAAGTAACACGCATGGTCGGGTTATTCAAGGACCCATAAAAATAGTATTTTAATTATAGTACGTAAACGCGTAAGTTTAAAAATTCCTGACCCAGGGAATCGTGCTTCTGCTCCTCATTTTACCAGTTCCGAGTAAAAATGCCATTAAAATGTAAACGGTATAGCCTGTGGCCTTGAGGTGCCCAAATTCGACCACTCTTCAATACTGAGTGATCCAAAATAGTGAATAAAATATGAAACCGTTCAGACCGCTCAATATCAGAGAGCAAAAGTGATTTCAGTAAATGAATTACCCATTAACTTAGTTTCTCAAAAGGGTGTTTATCTTGAGTCCTCAGATTCTGAGTTACAGACCGATATTCCGAAGTATTGATCGAAGTATGAAAAACATACAGGAGATGTTTAGGCCGATTTGCAGCAAATTATGAGGTAAATAAATAAATTAGACCGACCATGAACATACAGCTGACGGATATGTATTTGGAGGTTCCATGGTGCTGGAGCACTATGGGATTAACCAAAGTTATGCGTAGATATTGAAGACCCTAAAGATTCGCTACAGCAGGGGTGCACAACATACAGCCCGCGGTCCCCTGGTGGCGGACTGGTGGCGTTGTAAGTGCTACTTTGGCTCGTGCCCTGTTGGCCACAGCTATGGTCAGCCAGACTAATAGAAGGTGGGTGGTCTGGCGGCCGTGTGGCCCGCGGTTTGTTAGTAAAAATCTCGAATGGCCCTCTCAGTCTTTTGAGTTATGCACCCCTGCTCTGCAGCATATGGTACGGAACCCACTTCGACAAGAGTAGTAACCATGGAGTTATTTCCTCACTAGTAGGTAAGCCTTTCAGGGGTGACAAGCTCAAACATATTGCGCACTCCGAAACGTTCTCCATATTTTCCCAAAATATGGAGAACGTTGCCATACAAAGACCTATTAACTAATGTGAAGATAACTCTATTGAAACACTTTCGACGAGCGCATGAACAATAAACATGTTTCTACTCAAGGTTTTGGATACCTTTTTCGGGGTATCAACTAATGAAATAAGATTACTATTAAACATATTTCGAGAAATATACTCGCCTTGTCTCAAGATAGTGATGTACATATAGATAATTCGATTGATATTGTATTGTGATTTCAGAAGAGGTTAGTCGAAGACACCGAGCCATTGAACAACAAAGACAGACACCCGGGTGAAAAGAAACTTTGAAAGAAAACAAGAACCAGCTAAACGGGCCCGAGACGAGCGAAGAGATCATCAGGCAACGACACCAAACCGAATGGATGTTCGAAAATCTAGACGGTTAGAAAAACCCCTGTCCAAAATCATCTCCATCGTCGACGCATCGACCCACTCTTCCCTGGAACGGATGCAGAAGACCGCTCGAGTCTTCACGGCGAAGGAGCCTCGGACGCGGGCGACAGCCGGGTCTGTGGACTCGGTGCCCGCTCGACTCGCGAGTGTTCTCGCCGAGAGGGAAAGGTGGGATCGGGTGTTCCGAAGGGAAGGAATGGGAGAAGCATCCACACCCACCTATTGCAACATGCACTCGACCGATCCGAACGAGCGATCGGCGAAAGGGCTCGTCGCGTCGCAGAAGAAACATTTTTCACTTTCAGACTTTCTGGTGCCGAAATCAAGGTTTTGGCTACGTACCGATCAGATTGCACCGGCGGAATGGTGACACGGTTTCGTACACGAACGGCGTCATTTTCGGCCCCAGTCCGTTTTTTCCCCCTTCAGAGCTTCTTTCAGGATTCCTCCTGGCAATTCTGGAGGAAATTGTATAAATCGCACATCGATGCTCCCTTTCGACGCCGTACAGCATCGAGAAAGTTTTGGCAGGCCCGCGGTGATTTTTGAAAAATTCGTCAATGACAGAGCAGGCAAGCACGGAATAGGTTTTCCGGTTCACTTTCCCACTTTTCGTTTCAGTTCAGTTAGCTCGTCGCAGCAGGAGTGATGAATCGAATCTCTCGTAATTTCCCCACCGTCCCAGAGGGAATAGGTCGGGTTTGCAGCAATCTTCTTTCCAGCTTTTTTCCATTCTCTTCCCCTGAGATTTTTTTTGTTACCAAGGTTTCTCTCTCCAAAAGTCAATTAGTCATCCAAAGAGCATGAATTTTTCCCAAGTTGCCTGGTACGGCTTGCTTTCGTGCAAAACCGCGAACAATGGCTCCGTTTCCTTCGGGAACGCCTAAACAGAATCCCATCCGTCATGCACGATCTCCACGTCCTTGTCCTCTTTTCGACAGCTCGTCGAGAAACAAAGGATGCCCCGTGTCGCCTTTCAAGTCGGTCGAGCGTGAAAATTAATTTTGATAATTACCGGTACTCGATCGAAACCGGTCGTGTCTGGAGAGACAAAAAAGAAGAAAGACCTTGTCCGGAATGAGGTATACGAACTGAAAAAAAAAACAGTCCATCAGCTGTTGCAATATATGACGAGAAAGGGAACGGACAGAAGAGCCATAACAAAGGTGAGGCAGTGACGTCGAGCAAGAACAAACAGGATGTAGAAGAGATACAAAAAAAAAGATGAGCTTCTCTCATCATGCAACCTTGGAACTACTCTCTCTCTCGGTGAGAGAGTGAGAGAGAGATCCCCGGAGGGGAGGAGGTCTCCTCCATCTTTTATTCTAAGACCACTTTCCCTTCCCTTCCTTCCCTTAGTCTCCGAGAGCGATTCCTAGAGGATCCACGTGGTTCTCTATTCCTCTCCAGTGGTCCATTGTCAGGGTACTCTCCTGTACATGTGCGACTGTACCTGTTTCTTCCTCGCCCCTTCCCAATATCCAAGGTCTGCCATCCCTATATCTTCCTACATTCTACCGTTCTACTAGTGTACCTTGCAATGGCACACTTGTGAGTTTCTTTAGAAAAAAAAAAGAGCGGCGAAGCTCGTCGAGACACGGCAGGGAGCCATCTGAGCCATCTCGAATCCTCCATCACATTCGACGTGTGATGTGAGCTTCATCTTCGACGCCTGGGAAGGGAAGGGGAAAGTATGTCAAGCACGTGGTCCTGGATTACTAGATCTTAATTAGACGAAGCCTGACAACCGGAGGGGGTGAATTGAATTGCATCACGTTCCCCCCGTGGGCCTTCCCAATTCGGCGACTGATTTTCTCATCGACACTGCTTTCCGCGAACGGAAACACGGGAATTGCTGTTGTCCGCTATATATTCCGGATATTTCTTACGATAAGCCTTTCGAAAATGGGTCAGGAACGGCAAAACTCTTCTAAAGAATGAAGATGGAGAGGTGTGGAAAGCTCTAGAGGCGCGCTTGTTTATCTGTGAACTTCTCTGCTCCCCAGGCATATTTCACGGCACTTTCACGCGAGGGGCGTGAAAGCTCGCCCACGTCTCGCATGCAGAACCCCCCCTCCCCCTTATTTGACGGAGCCCAAATGAGCCCAAATGAGACGTCAGAGACGACGGGCAAAGGAAAGCGGAAAGCGACGCTCGCTTCCTCCCCGGACGAAAGTGGAATGCGGAGGACACCAGCCGGTTGGAGTCCTCCCGCTCGCAGTCTCACTCCGCCACCGACTACGGAGCTGTCACACCGATCATAGTCATTATTCTCCTTGATGGACAGCGAGAAATCGAACGCCATCTGTCATAGAAAGTAATCGGTACGAAAGGAAGGCAGGCAAGAAAGGGAAAGGGATGGGGAGCGCACGAGTGAGACACATATGCCCCCGTTCGCTTCATTAAATCCATAATGTAAGTACTTAAGCATTACGCTCTGGATCCCCGAAGGCACTCGTGGGCCTCTTCACCCTCTATCCAGAGATCAAATAAAAAACCACTTAGTGTAAAACCATGAATGTTCGGAGAGTTAAGCGGGCAACCTTGTAATTCATTTGTCCTGCCAGAACGATAAAAGCTGAATGCTTCCTTATTGGTGCCTGGGAGCACGATAAATAGGTAGGTATGGGTGTGACGAACATGTCCCTCCAAGCCTTATATGATAGCTTTCCCATTGTGTAGGTGTTCAAACTTAGATACGGAAAATTTTGAGTTTGAACACTTAAGTTCTGACACCGTAAGCGGTAGTCTGCTCATTGCAGCGTATTCCGTGTAGCAGTATCCAATGTACCCCTAGTTTCCAGTGAAATAAGAACTAAGCACAGCAATCAAGAATACCTCGCATGAAGCGATTCTCAATGTAAAAGGTCTTACGTTTTCTTGAATTTCTCCTGACCATGATACAGCGTTTACTTCAGTCGAATATTTCTAAATGGTGCTCATGGATGTTGGCCACCGCATGTCGGTAACTCGTTGATCCCGAGCCAGGAATAACTCATTTTGAGGGCGACCTCGCGAATGTTTTGTTTTCTAACAAGTACGTCATATCGCCCGAACATTTCAGCTGATGGTTTTACCTTATCAATTTTTCACAATAGCGAAATATTTCATTCCAAACCATTTCTTCGACAAGAGGAATCGGCATACCTTAGCCCAGAAGCCTTAAATCTCGTGCTTTGGGGGATAAAAATGGGGGGAGGGAACGAGAGAGAAGGGGGTGGGGAAAGTTCTTGCGGCCTGTTTGTCACCTCCAAGAGTGGGGTTTGTAATGGGTGTGGTTTCGGTGTCCAGAGAAGTTTTTTTTTCTTTTTAAGCCTCAGGGTGGGGGAGTCTATAATAGTGAGAGCGTTCTCACTTATATATATGAATGGAGTCACGCTCGAAGGAACATTTTCTCTTGTCTCTCTTGACGAGAGTGAAATCGCATTTCCGTGATTGTCCACGCCGGATTGCACGTCCCCCGGATTTCGGAAGAGGTCTCGAGAAACCCCGTCCTCCGCGACGAACGACGACGAATGAACCGAAAAGGGAATCGGGATGCTGCGATGGGGGTGTTTCAACATAATCCGAGCTGGCGTAAGAATGCCATCCAGGCCAAGCCTCCCTGCGGGGGGAAAACGTAGAAATGCATGCCGGTTTGCGAAATGCCTTCGCCTATCCCGCACGTCTAAAAGTGTCCTCCATCATCGTCCCCCTACCCGATCTCGTATGCAAATTGGTTCCATCAGCGTAATGACGATTTCACGCGGATCGCAAATTAAGCCATTCGTCCGCGTCAGCCAACCTTCCCGTTGCGTGTCTCGACGTACAGATGGAGATAGGGTTGGTGATAATCGTTCAGACGTTGCTGTGGATGTCCCAATCGTGGGCCTGGGAGATCCTGGACGCCCCCGTGTTCGGGAGGCAGCAAGCGGCGCTCATTCGTCCCGAACCTTCACCTTCCACGTGAGGCCACACCCATTAATCGTCGAGAAAAGTCGCGACGTACCCCGATACCTTTTGTTAATCTACCGGGCGGGCTGCAGGCACAGGCGAAACAAGCGGGCGACGCAGTACTCGACTCGGCACGTGAATCCGCCGCTGGAGATCTCGCCCTTGCCAAGGGCCCCCCACCCCGATATGCCTCCTCTGTCCTTCAGGGACATCCATTCCTTCGTTCAAAGGGCATCCGAGGTCATTCACCAGCGATACGAGACCGTGGAGCCTCGGATCTTCAACAGCGGTCTGCACTCGTCTTCCCCTCTCGTACGACCGGTTATCGTTTGGCTATCGACCTGATTGTTCGACCTGATGACGTTGACAGGAGTTAGGCAGATCCCGGGGTCGGCGGCTTGGTTCCTGGCCGCCTCGGCCAAGACTAAGGTCGTAACCAAGAACATCTCCAGAATCGCACTCATCTCCGAAGAAGCGACCAAGTTTATCGCTCAAGAGTGAGCTACACCTCATGCCAAATCATTTTTTTTCTTTTAGTAATCCTTTAACAGGATTTTGCAAATGCACTGCTGATGCAGACTGAAGCTGAGCAAGGAGCAAGTGACGTACGGGCTCCCGACGGCGGACGTCAGGGGGACGGTCCTGGGAGACGAATGCCCCGTCCAAGTGGATTTCCCCTGTCAACCGAGGAAATACCGCGCTTACAACGGATATTGCAACAATGTCCAGAATCCCCGGTGGGGAAATTCCAACACCCGATACCTCAGATTCCTCCCGGCCGATTACGCCGACGGTGAGACGAGTGAAAAATAACGAGGCGGAGAAGACGTGTTTCGGTCGATTAATGAATGGATGGGCGATGTGGGTACACAGGTGTTGCGACACCCCGGCAGAGCAAGTCGGGGGCGTTCCTACGAAGTGCTCGAGAGGTGTCCTTAGCATTGCACGAATCTGCGGATCGACCTCATCCTCACATGACTGCCATTGCCGCTCTTTGGGCTCAGCTCATCACCCATGATCTCTCTCACACTCCTCAAATGGCGGGTCAGAAATCGTCGCTATCGAAGAGGTCGGGATTTAAAGGGTTAAGTCGCATTTTCACTGTTTCGCAAAAGTGGGTCATTCCGTGGCAATCGGGCACCCTCTACGTATGTAAGCACGATTTCCCCACAACCACGTTTATTGTAGTTTTTCTGGTACGAAGATGCTTCCCCAAAAGCGGCCCATTGGTGTCAATGTTCTCAAAAAACTTTCAGTGCCATGTACACTTGCAAAATGCGACTTAGAACCTATTTGATCCTGAACCCCTCAATTTTACTTCCCTCTCCATGAGAGACTGACGAAGATCCAAAAGGACCGGCACTGAAGGAAAGGTTCTTTTCTGGTGTCTCCCTCTCCCTCCTCTAGGTTACTTGGGTCAACGGCTGAAATGCTGCGGAGTGAGATTCGAAGATTTCCACCCGGAATGCTACCCAATCCGACTGCCGGACGACGACCCCGTTCACTCGAAACTGCGGAAAAAGTGTCAAGAGTACGCTCGTTCCGGAACGGCCCCTCGCACTGGATGCACTCTCGGTACGTACAATCTCTCTCTCCCCCCCCCCCCCCCCCCCCCCCCCCTCTCTTCCACCCATCCGTTCGAAACGAGGATGAAAGGGTTAGCCACTATTGGACTGGCTGGCGCGGATAGGGAAGCTTTTCGTCCTGGATTTCCAGAGAAACCTTTTCTTTACTGCTTTTCGAAAAGCAGTAAAGAACGAAAAGCAGTAGAGAACAGAGACAGTGACTGGAATCACCGGCCACGAGAGATGCTCTCTGCACAATAAACAGCTCATGATTCGGGTGAGGATTTATGAGTTCTAAAACCCTGAGAAACCGGCAAGCAAAATATTACTGGCAACAAGATGATAAAAGCACGAAAATAAGTGTCAGAAAAAAAAGGAGTCCTATTGTAGCCCCAGTATCTGCTGATTCCAAAGCAAAAATCTGAAAGAATGAAACCTGCCCTGCTAGCAAATATGAAATGTCTATTTCATTGCTCTCAAGAAAAGGGCAATAATCATGGGGCTCTTTGGAGCTATTATTGTCATTCTTCTGCTAGTGATTACCGAAAATGGAAAATCTCTTTTACAGACCTAAAACACCAAGGGGGTAGGGGGGGGGGAAACATATTGTGACGGATGAGGATGGCATCGAAGGGGACGACTGGAAGTTCCGTGTTCGGTGGTGTAGTGGTAGCACACCTGACCGGCAATCAGGAGGCCCGGGTTCATTTCCCGGCCGTTCCTTGGCTTTTTTTCGGCCTCTCATGCCTTCCGTCGCCCGTCTCCACTTTCCCCTTCCGTAACAATATGAAACAAATAACGCCTGTTTCGGCGTTATGACATCTGACGTGGATTTTTTATGGGGTCAACATTTATTGGCAAAACAGCGGAATCGTGCCTATGTGCAATGCAGTGAGGCATTTATCTAAGAACTCTCCCCCTTTGAATGATTGTTCTATTGTCTAAATTAAAGTCGACACAGTTGACACATTCGCTGCCAGTCGGTGTTTGGGTGGTAACTTTCTCCCTGTGCCTGCCATTTTTCTTTGGCAGTGAATATGTTGAAATCTTGAGAAGCATTGATGCCCCGACGCTCATCAAACTCTGACAATAATCTGCATGATCCAACCAATCCAATACATGATCCAATTATGACTTTTTTATGCTTCCTAAACTGAGGGATAAAAAGTCATGCAAATAATTTTTATTTTTATTTTTTGCTGACCTAATACGTGGGCACACACGTAACGAAGGTGCAGCTAACAGCGTTGAATCCACTTTCTGAAATGGAATTATGAAAAGTTGCCATGACGAAATAACGTGGGAAAGGTGACTCAGCACAGCAGTCGCAACAGATGATCCAAACGTCTGCGAGCTATTACAGCGAAAAAGCAAGGAGTCATCCACGTCCAAGAGGCATGCGCGCCACCGCATCTTCCTCATTGTTAAAAAGCTTTCCTGGGCAACGTCCTTTTCAAATTTCCGTTTCCAAACGTTGGAGCTCTCTGTAAAAAATAAAATAAAGTGCCTGAAATGTACCAGTTTTATTCTGGAAATCGTACTTCCGTGGTTTTTAGGAAATTTATTTCCTCGATAACATGCAAACAGAAAGTCCGATTTCTCCTAGTCAAGGTAAGGAAGACCAGTCTTTCTGTCTGCTATATTACAGCGAAAAGAAAAATTTCCTGAGAAACCCCAGAATAACGAATTCCTGCTTAAAGCTGGTTCATTTCAGGTATTATTTTTCTTTATAGTGCAGAACAAGTCTTGTAGACTCTTGTAGAAGCACATTCTTACAGATGAGGCTTGGGAGAAATTTTATTTTTTTACTTCTCTATAATGGGATGACGATGACCCGTGCCACTTCCCTCGGCGAGCAAAACGCTACTGAAGGGATGCTCCCTATCTCTTCGACTCTTCTGCGACGATTGCATGGACTGAGCATTTTACGCTCTTTTGGCAACGATGGCATGAAAGAGCTTCGATGAGCCCACTGGTTCATAATGTTCGACTGCGAGAATTTGTGACCGACTACAAGAAGTAGATAGGTCTGGCGGTACTTTTCATGCTAGAATTCCTCGGCACTGTGAGAACCGATTCGAATATATTTTAACTGCAGGAGTGCATTTTTTTCCCATATCCGAGCAATCTTTCCCAACCTACAGTAGCATGAAATTTGCCATCAGAGACGGATTAAGGCTTTTTCTTTTAAAATTCGTCTCTGAATCCATCTCGCTCAAATTTTCATCTAGAAACTCCAATGGTAATCGTTGGGGAAGCCTCAAATCCGTAGCCCCTAATGGGATTTCATCGCTCCATGTGGAAAAATCCGACATGATTGAGTCCTTGGCGCCTTTCGAAGAAATGATGTCAGACGACATGTCGATAAGGAGTACCTCATTAGTAACTGAAGATTGATGATGCGGCACACTGTACAAAAATACGCCCTGGAATTTTCCAGACAGAAATATTTCAGATAGAAAAACCGGTCTCTCCCCGTCAAGGATTACAACCGTGGGTCTTTCTGTCCGTTATAAAGCGATGAAAAGCAAGAAATTACTAAGGAAGCCGGGGAAGTAAGATTCCCAACGTAAAGCTGGTGAATTTCAGACCGTATCTTTTTTTACAGTGGGCATCCGCCAATCTTCCAACCCTACCGCGAAAGCGGGAGATATTAAACAAGCTGAGGAAGACATGAAGTCTATCGTTAATGCAACCCCCCACGAAGCCTCAGCGTGAGAAGACCCCATCAGTCCTGGATGGAGAGTGCCGTGACTAAAGAAAGGACGTTCTTGACATCCATCCTAACTCTCTTTGAAACGAGAATCGGCTTGCCGCTCGAGCAGGAGTAGGACTGCATCCTGAAAGAAAGAGATGAGCCGAAAGATTCGGGACTCGCGAGGAGGGCATGAGGAGGGCATGAGGAGGGCATGAGGAGGGCATGAGGAGGGCATGAGGAGGGGTCTGATGACTCATGGACCCCTGGTCCATCTCGAGGAACCACACCATATGTAACGTTGTAATGGACTCTCGCCCACTCACACCTGATTCTGGCACGATTCTCCAATTCTGAAACCCATGACGACTTCCCGCCGCCTCCCCCTCCCTCCCTCCGGATTCGTACGAAATAGAATCCATTATTCTCACACCCCACCGACGCCTGGAACTGGAGATATGAACCTTCTACCGTGGAGAATACCATCCACGCCGGTCACGGACCGCACGGCTCCTGTCACTTATGGACATGGAAGGCTTCTTTCTCCTGCTGGCTTGGCCCGCACTCTTCGACCAGAACGAACTCAGGAATTGTTTTGGAAGACGGACGAGAAAGTCGGAATATTCCCTCTCGTACAAGGATCGGATCCCCTCGCAGATCCGTTAAATTGCGCTTCTCCCGATCCCCGAGGTTTTCGCTCGATCAACATGCACAACTTTTTCGACTTCGATCAGAAACAGCTTAAGAGTACAGTTTTCGCCCGGGGGAGTCAGCCACCCAAGCCTTGTCTATTCCCAGAGAAAATGTAATGTCTGTAGGATAAATCCAAGTTTGAACTACTTAAGTTCGAACTCTATAGCGTACATTGTTATAGAACTAAGCATTCTGGAGGTTACCCTCAGAAACAATTCTTCCAAGCACCAAAGAACAAACCTCACGAATACTTAGCTTAGTGAATACGTACGTCATAGCATCCTTCGATATAATTGGAGGACTCCTACGAAGAAGTACATTTATGACTTTCACGAACTCTCCGATCCCCCTGTCGCGCAACAGCGGGGTTCTCCACGAGCCCAACGCTGCTCGGTCTCTTCGACGCAGACCTTCACCCAGCCTTCACCCAGCCTTCACCGCTTCGTGAAGGACTCGCCCCAGACCACGAGGACCCTCGCCGTCTCACTCGGAAGGGCGCCCAAAAGACATTCGGGACTCTCGATGACGGACGAGCAGTAATGCATTTTTGAAATGACGGCCGGCTGTCGAACCTCATCTTTCTCCACGGGAACGATCGACTCGGCATCGTCGACGATTTCACCTTCCCCCGGGCAACGGGCATAATACATGGATGTTCGTACCGGATCTAGACTCCACTTAGCGTAAACCCTCACAGCCCCGAGGGTTCGACATTTCCATCAGCCCGATCACCGCCCATCACACGCAGCAATGTATTCTTTTGAACTCTCGTTTCACCGCTCTCCATCCCCTAGACCTCGATGGAACGGAAGCGCTTTTTCTTGAGCGTACCCATACCCCCCGCACCAGCCCTCGTCCTACGCGAACGGCAAACGACCGTCCGAAAGCTCAGTCATATAATGGTAATGAGAAAGTCCTCGAGCGGTACGCGGTTAACTGCAGAGAGAAATACGAAAGAGGCCCTCGCATTAGAAAGAGCAAGAGGCCCGTCTTTCATCAGCCTTACGCCTAGTGTCCGTGCAAATCATGCCAATAACCCAGCATCTCCATATTTTGCATCGCAGTCGAACGAACCGCAGTCCGATCGTATTTGTTGCTTGCCGTGACAAGCTACTATAAGTAATGATTGTTTTCAGTGAAAGTCTTCTCATCTCCCTGCGTTTGACTTACCATGCGCGGTGGGTAATAATCTCGGTTAACGTGCACGCTTTTATTGTACCTCGTCTGATGAATAGAGTGTCTGTAATATAATACGAAGTAGTTTCGGACAGATCGTTTCGACACCGCAAACCTCATTCGAGTCGGCGTTCGCGACGCTGAGAAATTCTGCCATAACGAAGCGTTGCGAGACTTTCTTGGGACATGATATATTGAGACTCGCTCGACGGGGGAGCGACTGAAGGTCACCTGAGGCAAGCGAAGTTCTTCGTAATGGCACTCGAGAGTCAACCGAAAAGCATTCAACCTCGGATCGAGGAGATTCCCGCGACGTCGCCGAAAGAAATCTCGTGGGGGATCTCGAAGACCGGAGACGGTCTAGGTCTAGGTATATCCGTCTGTCTGGGAGACTTCCCACAGGGGTAGTGTCGTGAGCGGTCGGGTTTTCCAACCGTTTCAAATTCGGCACGACGGTCGCCGACGATGGAGTTTTAAATCGGACCAGATGGAGGCTCTCTATCGGCTGCATGCGCTTTGCTTCCATCGGTCGCAAAAACGACAACCGAAAGCTCGGCGATGTGAATGCAGACCCTGTGTCGATCGAATGGAGGCATTTCGGCATCTTTCGCAGGATATTTATAAAAGCAAAGGATCTCTTTCGTAAAGAATTTTGCTCGATGATGTCATTACGATTTCCAGTGAAGCATACTCTACAGTACTTGTGACCTTGCGTGGGAGAATATCAGAAAAGGGCGGTCGCTTCCAGACTCACAGCTCCCTCGATCCAACGATGGGGTTCGAACGTTAGAGTGTACATTCGAGGCTGCATCAGGGAGTACCTTTGCTTAGACTTAGAGGTTGGATCGGAGAATACAACAGTACGTGATGGTAACATTGGACAGGACCCAGGGAGCAGATCAACCAGGTGACGTCGTTCATCGACGGGTCCGTCATGTACGGCTCCAGTCGGGAAGAAGTGGAGGAGCTTCGGACGTTGAAAGGGGGACTTCTCCTCTCTCAGGTGATCCCCGCCGGGGAACTCTTACCCCCGGATGAAAACGTCCTCGATTGCAGAGCCAACTCGACCGATCTCAGGTGACGTAGAGGCTCGGCAGAGATTTCATCGAAAACGACCGGCAGCGATTCCATGGAGATTTCTTTCGTTTCGAACGAAGGTGCTTCAAGTCGGGAGACGTGAGGGTGAACGAAGACTTGGGGCTGGCGGGGATTCATACGATCCTCCTCCGAGAGCACAACCGGGTGGCCAGGATCTTGAGCCACCTGAATCCTCATTGGAACGACGAGACGGTGTTCCAGGAAAGCCGGCGGATCCTCGGCGCCACCTTGCAACACATCACCTACGCCGAATTCCTTCCCGTCGTCCTCGGACAGGTTTCTCTCTCACCTCGTTCGTTCGTGTCGAGGGTGTTCGAAACCTTTTTCTGTATCGAACACTTCGGTTTTGGCGCAGGACTTGATGGCCCAGTACGGATTGGAACCCCAGAGTTCCGGCTTCTTCACCGGCTACGACATCAACATCAATCCCGGAGTGGCCAACAGCGTCGCTTCGGCCGCCCTCAAGTTCGTCGCTTCGCTCATGCTCGACGACCTCCCCTTCCGATTTCCGGTCAGCACCGTCTCGATGATTGGGGAACAGAGAGAGACAGAAAAAGCAGAAGTGGAAATCCTTATTATGCGTGACGATGCAGGATGGTCGAGTGGAGGAGAAGCCGATCGGGAAGACTTTTTACGCTCCCTTCGACCTGTACTTACCGGATCGGTTGGAGGCGCTGTTGCAGGGGATGCTGGATGCCCACGCGCAGACCGAAGACTCACACATTGCCGAGTCCATGACCAACCATCTCTTCTACGACCCTGAAACCGGTCTGGGACTCCTTTCTCTCTTGCTCCTCGGTTCGATGTAACTTAGGTTCGAATGGACACGGGAACGATGGATCGATGGATATCGTTAGGCGTGGGTCTGGACCTGGCGGCGCAGATCATTCAACAGGGCCGGGATCACGGACTCGGGGGCTACAACGCGTGGCGGGAATTCTGCGGGTATTCGCGGGCTACCTCTTTCTCTCATTTCCTCGATGTCATGTCCGAGAGTTCCGTCCGACTCCTTCAGTCCATCTACGAGTCAGTCGATGCATCCATCCGCCTCTTTCCCCGTTCTTCCTTTCCTTCCTGACGGAGGGTGTCTCGTCCGTGCCAGGAACGTGGAAGACGTGGATCTATTCAGTGGGGGATTGGCGGAAGTGCCGAATCGGGGGGCCTTGGTGGGTCCCACTTTCGGCTGCCTCCTCGGCCGACAGTTCCATTACCTTCGGCGCGGGGATCGCTATTGGTACGAGAACGACCTTCCACCGTCTTCATTCTCCAAAGGTAATCGACCGTCCTGGATGCAGTTGAAAGAGGCCACTCTTTCCCACCACCGTTTACGCGTATCGCCCGTTCCGATTCCTCTCGCACCGCAGATCAGTTATACGAGATCCGGAAGACGAGTCTGGCGAGACTCATCTGCGACAACACCAACATCGACTCGATTCAGCCCCACGTCTTCCTGAGCAAAGACCCTTTCCTGTAAGTCCTTTCCCCTTGCATTGCCCCCGTGGAAATAAGGCAGGTGCTGGGAGATGCGTTTATGTATGGATAAGGAACGCGGTGATGGCTTGCGACGGCGAGGCGCTGAAGGCGATGAATCTGAAGAAATGGCAGACGCTGTCGCCGAATTTCATCGTCCCTTCCGACATCTTGGAATCGTCTTTCGACCGAGCTAAGAGGGACGTCGGCGCCATCCGGACCGTGGAATGGGATCTCTACAATCAAGGTCTGGTTCCGTTTCACTTTCACTCTGTCACGGCTTAGAACGAGTTAGGCATCGTCAGAAATGGAGGACGAAACTCTGTGGGTGTCCTTACAAGACGTCGGGACGTAAGAACTACCTGCGAATATATATATCTTAATATACTATGGAAAACTATTCTTACTCGGACCTCGCTTTTCCCTTATCTACTTCACACCTTACCAGTGACGCTAACCACCAACTAGCCCTGCGTATATCCTCTCTAGACAGTCTCTTATATACGAGATTCCTCCTTCCAGCTGTGCTCTTCATGTCGACTGAATTTAGTCGGTGCCATCCATGACGAAATGCTCAAGGTCGTTCCTTACTGGGCTGGGGATTGCCCAGCTTATCTTTCCCTACTGCGCTCATAGTTAACTGACATTGGTAGTTTACAACGTTACACAATTGTGAACCGATTGACCCAGGTTCCTTCTCGGCCCGAGTGGGACGTTGAGGAAGTTGAGAAACGCCGCGAGAACAATTAGGTCACTCGAGGACTCGATCTTCATGGACCCGAACGTGGCAATGCAAAACTGTGATGCGTCTAGTAAGAGTGCGTGACTAAATATAAATAGCAATGTGGGAGAGCGATTCGGTACTCAGGGAGAGTATGGCACAGTGTGTGCTTGTCTCTCTTCTTTGTAGGCTATTCTTCCCTCCCGAAGTCTTATTTCTTTGCTTTTGTGGGCGTCACGCGATTCCTACTGTCTTTTGTACCGGTGTATTATAGCTGACTTCGATAGCTGTAATGTCACGGATATAGAGTCGAGAAGGGGGCATTTCCAGAGGAGAGGTACGCATATATATTCAGGGTATGGCAAAAACACACCCGACTTATACCCAAGAAACATCTGCTCATATTACTGACGTTTTCCCACGAAACCTGCACTGTGCATAAGCTTAAGAGCTGTAAAAATGAATTCAGTGGGAGCAGAGACATAAAGGATGAAAGTCGCGGTCATTTCCATTGCCATACTCTTCGTGAAAAATTCATTCGGCATTCATGTTTGCCGCTACACGAGATCAGTATCGTGAAGTGTGATATCCCTTTATCAGATCTGAGTGCAGACCCGAAGAGCCCAGTCGGGAGTGCATATGGCTTCCTTCGACCGAAGAGACAGGCATTGCAGATCTCCAATACCTCCTTCGTCCTCCAGTTCGCTTCGGCTCGGTTCGTCAACGACCTGATCGACGGGAAGCCGAGTCATTCCAAAGACCTGGAAAGCGGGAGCCACGCCCCGCAGAACTTCCAGGAACTCATGAACGCCTTGCCCAACATCGACGTCACCGACATCATGGAGATTCCCCAGGTCTGTGGAAAGTGCCGGCTCATTTCTCGTTCCCGCCCCCGGCAGTTCCGGTGACTCGTCCGACCTCCCTCGCAGGTGTTCGAATGCGACGAGCAGACGCTGCCGTGCGATCACACGTCCCGGTTTCCGACGCTCACGGGCTGGTGCAACAACCTGGAGATCCCCGAGTACGGGAAATCCATGCGGGCCTTCGCTCGCCTCCTTCCAGCTCACTACCAGGACGGACTGAGCCGGCCTCGCAGTCTGTCGGTGACGGGGATTCCCTTGCCGTCTCCGAGGATGATCTCCCGAAACATCCACGACGACGTTTCTGCCCCTCACGTCCGATACACCCTCATCACCATGCAGTTCGCCCAGTTCCTCGATCACGATCTCACCTTCACTCCCGTCAACAAGGGTATAAATTTCCCTCTCTCTCTCGATGGAGACTCTCTCGAGGAAGGGATTTTTTAAATTTCATTTCCCGTTCAGGTTTTGGGAATTCCATATTGGATTGTCGGCGGTGTGACTCCCAGGAGACGGTGCATCCGGAATGTTTCCCGATCAAGATCCCGGATGGAGACGCGTATTATCCCCGAAAGAATGGGTCGTTGGATCAACCCTTCTGCATTGCCTTCACCCGATCACTCCCTGGCCAATTGACTCTAGGTCTCACTCTCACTATATCGACCTTCATAAATTCCTAAAAGTGACGAAGAGGCGATTGTGAGTTGGGATATCTGCGATGCGGTCTGGTCCAGCGACGAAGTAGCCCTTTTGTTATCGGACTGAAGCTGGGAAAATACGCCGGAAAAAAATACGAATAGGTCTCATCCCTATTGCTAGATCTTGCTCACACGATTTTTTGCGTCACTCATAGGAATAGCGAAAAAAAAACCAAATAGTACATCTATCCCCATGTCATGAGAACTCTTTTTCTCCCATTGAGTTTCCCTTGTTCCAAAATCATTAGATTTACATTTTTGACAAAATTATGTTACTATTTTTTTTTTACAATGCTAAACTCATTTTCCCTTGGCGTTGTTTTTTTTTGTGTTGTTTCAGTTTCGTCAGGCTTCCAGTCTGTATTTTCTTTGCCAAAACAGAAATGTAATTGAGTTTGGTTGCGCTTTACATGAAGCTATTAGCGAGATGATATGCCTATTCCTAATAACTATATATAAAACTATAAATATAAAAATAGCTAATAACTTTAGCTCTTTTTTTTTACGCATTGTTAACGACAGGGGTGAAATTACATCAATAATAGGTATAAAAGAACTGCCTTACCTTATTGAGAGGAATGAAATTTCAGCTGCACTTTTCGTTCTGATACCTAAATGTTTTTGGCCAGAACGACATGAAGACCTCTTCCTCCTCGATCGCAGATATCGCAGGCTCACCTCTTTTTTTCAATTGTCAAAAAAGGATGTTCGGCAGAGCATTCTGTGTCATTCGTTCCTACTGTCATCGGTAGTCGAAGGTGAACGAGTATTATTTCTCTCGGCGAGCAGGATACAGGGAGCAGATAAACCAAGTGACGGCCTTCCTCGACGCGTCGGCCGTCTACGGCTCGGACGTGTGCGAGTCGAGAGGCTTGCGGTCGGGGACGCGAGGCCTCTTGAGGGATTTCCCGCACCCGGTTGGGTCCGGTTTCAAGCATCTCCTACCTCGCACTAGTGAACATCCGGAGTGCAAGGCCAAATCCGGCTTCTGCTTCTTGGCCGGTCAGTGCTCATGCATCTCACTCGGTTGCCTGAGGTTTGGCACTCGACGTCAAGGGCTGGACCCCAGCTGAGCTTTCTTCGCCGGGCGATAAGTAAGAGGGTTTAGAAAGGAAAGCTTAAATGCATACTGGACGGCTCGAGAAACTCTTGATTTATTGATGTACAATGATGAAATTAAAAAAAGAAGATCCGTTATCATCCGTGACTTCCAACAAGTTGGCATCGTAGTGCTGAAAGAGCGGCGACAGGGAGATGATTAAGATCTCGAGAACCGTTTGCCGTCCTTCAGTCGAGGACGCACACTCAGCCCTCGTCTCGAGGCTTGTCCAAGGCTACTGAGATTGCACGACAGATGAATTCCGAACGATAATGCCTCACCGTTTTGTCGTCGAGACAGGTGACGGTCGGAGCAGCGAGCAGCCGGGGTTGGCGGCGATCCATACCATATTTATGAGGGAACACAATCGCCTGGCGGAGGGTCTCGCCCTCAGGAACTCTCATTGGACCGATGACGAGATCTTCATTAATGCCAGGAGGATATTAGCTGCCGAGTTTCAACATATCACCTATAACGAATTCCTTCCTCGGGTCCTCGGATGGAATGCCATCTACCTCTACGGTCTTGACCTCCTCTCCGATGGATACTTCCAAGGTTTCTTGCACAGTTCTCTCATATTCATTCGATTTATTTTTTCGTTTTGACCGTTCCTAACGAGAGATTTTTCTTTTTTTCCATCATGTATTTTAACTCATAAATATGATATTTCACACGAACGTCCCCCCCTTCCCCCCAAAGGCTACGATCCGAAGTGCAATCCGACGATCGTGAACGAGTTCGCAACAGCAGCCTACCGCTTCGGTCACAGCCTCCTTCGACCGGAGTTGAAACGAATGGACGAGCAATACGGCGACCTGGAACCTAGTCTTCGCCTCCGGGACGTCTTCTTCAACCCGGATCATCTCTACGAACGGGGGATGATCGACGAACTGATGCGGGGGTTCACGACCGTCTCCATGGAGACCCTTGATCAGTTCATCACCGAAGAGGTCACGAATCACCTGTTTGAAGACAAAAAAGTGCCCTTTTCCGGAATGGACCTCGCTTCCCTTAACATTCAACGAGGTCAGTCACGTACCCATGATAAAGCGGAAGGTCAAACGCCTAGTTTGTAACATAAGACACGTGGAGATGGAAAACGACTGGATTTGATGCTAGTATTTATGCTTTACAATGTCGCCCTCCCCCAATTATCGTCATTCTGCATCTTACTGTTCCAGTTCTTTCATTCTATTAACGTAATGAAAATTATCACGAAGTATAGTATCTCCACGTCCAGGTATGCGATTTTTGTCATCGTGGTCCGCTGGTACGTGTACGTAAATGATGTTGGTAATATGAACAGGGCGGGATCACGGGCTCGCCCCGTACAACGAATACCGGGTGTTGTGCAACCTGACCCGAGCTCGGAGTTTTGAGGACTTGTCGCGAGAAGTCGCCCCTAACAACATCCAGAAACTGAAGAGCATCTACGCCCACGTAGACGACATCGATCTCTTCACTGGGGGACTGGCGGAAACCCCTCTTCATGGCGGGTTGGTGGGACCCACATTCGGTTGCATCATCGGCATCCAATTCCACCACCTCCGGGTTTGTGACCGATTCTGGTGAGTCGAGGTCGTTTTCCCGTTCCCCCTTCGATGGGATAAGAGAATGACGAACCGACGACCGATGTGATAGGTACGAGAACGGGGATCCGCTGACTCGATTCACGGAGGCACAGTTGAACGAGATCCGGAAGACCTCGCTGGCGAAGATGGTGTGTGAGAACTGCGACACGATCGGCCTGATCCAGCGGTCCGGTTTCGATCTTCCCGACCCCTTCCTGTGAGTCTCTCCCTCCTCTCTTCATCATCCCACGCCTCCTATTCAATCTCTATTCAATTACGATCGTGACGATAGGAACCCGAGGGTCCCGTGTAAGACTCTGTCCACGGTCAATCTGGACCTGTGGCAGGAAAGGCAGAGCTGCCAGGTGAACGAAGTGGACATCGGCCTCGGCGGAGCAAATCGAATCTCTCCCTGTGTCATGTGTACCTGCACCAAAGAAGGAGTATGTCTTTCCCACTTCCCTGTCGCAAGCATATCATAAAATGTTATTTGAAATTCATGATATATGAACTAGCTTAACGCAGAAAAAAAGGACATCGCCTTAGCATGAAAATAAATCAAAGCGATGAATAAGTGAGCAAGAGCCTGGAATGAAGGTCAGCGAAAGGAAACGACTCCGGACATTTGACTTTGTCGCCGTATACACCCAAGGGAGAAAAAGGTGTTGAGGGTAATACCGAGATGTTCGTTGCACTTGCAGCCGGTGTGTCAGTCGCTGAAGATCGACAACTGCTTCCAGCTGGCTCGGGGATTCAGTCCCGAGAACATCCTCCACGACCACGTGTGCAAGGTCCAATGTGCCTTCGCCTTCCGGGCTTTCCCCACCGTCTCTTCCCAAGCCCAGAACTCTCTCGGCTTCTCCTGAATCCTCCTTCCCCTCTTCCTATCCCAACACGGATGGACTCAACTCGACAGTCTCGCACCCGGTGCCGATCGTGATCCCGAGATGATGAGAGAGAGGGAAGAGCAAGAAGCTCCAAGCTGTCCTCAAAATTGTGTGCTTTCCCGCGTCTGTCGGAATCATTCCACATCCTCAGAGAAAATATATTTTGTACACTTTCTAAAAATCGTGGTTTCTGGATTCATGGAAAGATCGAGGCCGGGCTGCGGTTCTGGCAAGGTTCTGGTTCCTTTTATATTTCACGCTTTCGTGTCACAAAGTACCGAAGCAAAACAAATGAACATCAGCTAAAACACTGAAGTGCGTTCCAAGTATTCATTGGTATGGTGGATCCCAGTTCTGAGGATGAACGAACAAGAGCATGAAGAAGATTCCAGGCGAGTTGGAGACCGGGTATTGCGGACACAAAGCCTTTTCAATTTAATTACGCCGTCGCGGTCTAGGTTGGCCAACATTTTAAGGTTGTCACCCAGGAACGGGACCTTCGATTACCCTACAGGTTCGCCTCCTTGGATTTATCGAAAAGATTCAGGAGATCCAGGTCCAAAGGCGGGGTTTCCGTCTTCGAATGAATCCACATCCCCCTTAACGTAGTTGTATACGATTCATAACATTCATAAAAATGAGAAAATAATGATTAAAAGCTAATGATTAAAAAGCTTTTTTTTGTATTCCCACTGTGTAAATCCACAAAGTCGGATCCAGGAATTAGTGAAGAAAGACTGCTGGCCCTTGCCGAGCTTTCACCAGTGATGATTCATACAGAAATGGGTACGGGAAATCCCACCCAACGTTCCTTCTCGACGGGCTGATGCATCGAGGGGTAAAGAGATGTGGGGAAGAGGAATACAAGATGGAGAGAGATGGTGCGTGCGAGAGAGTGAGTGTCCAGAGACCCCTTCAATGCACACTGGGCCTCGTTGCGTGTCTCGCTGTACCAGCGCAACTCCTGAGTGAGGGGGATCCCCCCCCCTCCCCCCCTTACCTTCTTCGGTAATGAGGGGAATTTACATCAATTTAGGTATCAGAGCGTTTCCAACAATTCACCAGGGATTAGTTCTGAATAAGTTTTGATCGTCTGCAGCTTGGTTCTTTTTTAACACGTTGATCGTCATGAGGCGCACCGATGCGCCTCACTGAGTAGGAAAGTCACCAGACCAATATTGCCGTGGCGGTCAACATGTTAAGGATCGAGAGCACCCCAGACTTTTTTGGGGGGAGGGGGGAGGGGGGGGGGAAATTTTGGGGATGTTCACCGCCAGAAATGGGGGGGGGGGGAGAGAGAGAGAGAGAGAACGTGAAAGAAACTGGCAAGATTTATCTGTCACGAACTCTGGGGGTGGAGCAGGACATGTATTCGGCATTCGTTGATCCATCCTCGATCCGTCATTGTTTCTACTCACGCAAGCAATCATGGACTCGGAGACATTTTGATAGGAGTGCACGGTGATGGTTTTTTTTTTTTTTTTTTTTTAAGAACTGTGGCCTCTCACGCTTTGAGCATTTTCATAAATGAAGTTTTCGATAGCCGAGAAGGAACCACGGGCCAGAGTCTTGGGTGTAGAACGTTGCCGACCCCTCCGCTGGATCTGAACATTTCTCCTTCGCATTAATCAGGGTCTAGGGCTTTATTTTTTTTTTTCAAATGAATACGGGCGAGTGACGGGAATGCACATCACGCCTCAGGATACTTCGGTCGCTCCATTTCAACTTTCACTTTCGGTACCGGACCGGAAACACAACCGTGCAGCCGATATTTCTTCTCGGTTCCCTTTATGGAGAGCAGCGACGGTTTTCGGCTCCGATGATGAATTCAGCATTCTTTCTCAACGTGATTCATCCGAATCGTCCATTCAATTCCATGGAAGCACAGGATAATATTGTGAAGAGAACGAGAGAACAGCTTGACCTTCGCCCTACCTTCTAGAGAAGCTAACTCTTCAAGATCTAAGTGTTTCCTGATCGTATCGTATTCCTGTACCCGGAAGTCTTTGTTTCAGGTTTCCCTTGTTCCATGGAGATCGTCGGGGGATTTGCGCAGACCTAGCGAAAGCTCAAACAACTCTATTTATGGTCCCAAAGTGAACTCGTTGGTCGAAGAAATGACGTTTCGTTTGGTTCCCCAACTTAACCGGGGACAAATCCAAGAACACATTGTCATGCATATTCTGAACTTTGGGGGAAGTTGATCCTTTTGAGTTGGGTACTGCTTCTTCCTCTTCGAGGTCATGGTCGATATGCCTTTACCGAGTTCGATCGTTTCAGAGAGTAGCCAAAACTGCAGTTTGCAGTCGTGAAGAAGCCACGAAACCTCAGCCTTCCCCCCACTGTGGCAGAACTGTGTGATGCGAGTCATAACAGGTTTTATTTCTGGCTTAAATATTAAATTCCACATTGAAGGCGAGATGTGTAAGACTGCAGCAAATAGAGATAGAAGTCGGTGTGAAACCCGCCAGTTCGGACTGTTTCGACATGCTTCAAAAGGTGATCACGTGGAAACTGCACCCGAAGAGGTCGAAGGAGAATAACATACTCGACTCGAACTTTTGGCATGGGAACCATTTTTTCGCAATGTCAGGGGAATTTCTTGGCTATTCTGCATTCCCGAAGAAATCAATGTTGCTTATTGTCAGAAGCTTCGAGTGGGGAGGGTTTTTAAACGAGGAATCTGGGACTGTATACTATTTTTTATATAAGCAAATTGCTCAACTTCGACCATGCACTTGAATAGGACAAGCACCAACTAAACACCTCGCTATGCGGGAGAACACACTTAAAAATAAAACAGAATTAGTGTGATATGGGTTTTAAAGGGATCGACATCGCCAACCATTTGTCGCACGATATAGTGTATAGCCAATCCCACGAGTCATAAGTTGAAACGAGAGGAAAAATGCTTCATGATGCGGATTGGAACTATATGTTGCGATACAGTGGAGTTCACATGCAGCAATAGGAGCATTGGTGTTTTTTGCTCGTAACTAGGTCATGGCCTAGGGCGTTTCCTATTGAATGGTATCGAAAGGCATCACAGGGTGTAGCCGTTGAGCTATGGTAATACGCCTCATTTCTCCCCTTTCGGTTATACCGTATCGGAAACTGGGGGTAGTGCTACATGGTCATGTATGACATCTTTCCATGCCCCATAGGTCTAATGGGAGGGGAGCATATCACTCTGGAAAGCAACTTTCCGCGTTTCGTTTTCCCTTCATGAAGCCTACACTGTGCAGGCCCAGTAATTCGGGGGAATGGCAAACGGTGATCGAAGCTTCCATGTTTAGGTTTCCTTCTGCAAGTCGAACCCAGCCATGTACAGTATGCATGAGTTACCAGAAAGGGACAGTATGAATCTGGAAAACCGTATCGCGATTATCAGTTCGGCCCAAAATGGAATACGGGTTCCGGTCACGAACAGGTGTCACTCAGTCATGGTTCAAAACATTCGCAGGTTCCCGCAGATAGGGAAAAATCATGACAAGGCCCTTCTCATTCATCTAGGCCAGAGGCAAGCTCATTTAATACATAAATTAAGGCTGTACATTTAGAATTCAGGTAGCATTCTTGCAGAAACACCCGAGGAAATAAACAGTTCGGGAGTTTCTTCCCAATCGTATACCTACCCTGCATTAGGCAACCCATATGATTTTCTGTGAAGCTTATCGTATACGGTGCACGAAAACGATGCTCGATACCAAGAAAAGTTGACAGCAATATCTGGAATGGGGGTGAGTTGTCTTTCGCGTCATCGCCCAAAGTACGTACTTATATTAAAAGGCCTGATGTGATCCTTGCCCCAGCCCCCTAGAGAAGTGCGAAGTATCGGAAGCTCTCTGTCTGAATGAGTAAAATCTCCGTTTTGCAAGGACGGAACAAGTAATGGAGAAAGAACACTCGAGTAGATATTAAAATGAGATATTTGCATGAAGACATATTCAGCGCACCTCGATGGATATAAGCATATGAGCATAGAACCATACGTGGAGGGTCGGAAATTATGTGCTTTCTGATCTGATACCCATGAACTTCGTATTCTACGGTCGGATTGGGTTTTCACTGATAATGGGAAATCTCAATTAAAATATTTCTTCCAGCTGCTCTCTTGCTACACTTTCCTGACAGCCAGTCAAATTTTCCCAAAAGCTAAGGCAGGAATAAATCGTGTATTAATAGTATCAATATTCTTGCATTTGACGAAGAGAAATTTACGACTTTTGATGCTCCTACCATCTTGATTCAATGCACAGAATTGATTTAACACTGAAGAGATTTGCAGACGCAGAAATACACATTATAACAGGTTAATTCCTTATTAATGCGCCGCAAGAACAGAACTTTGGGCATACCTGCCAGAAAAACTTAACCTGTCAGGAGGAATATAAAAACCACTCATTCAAGCCGAATATATACTTGAAATAGCTTTGATACCTCCCAAAATATGAAATGATACCGGATACAGGAGAGTCATTAAAAGACAGTACGCCTTCTCATGGCTCCACTCCTACAAAATCAAACTTTGGATTAGTCACTATTCCAGAATGATTACACAACACACTAGGTTTCTCTGTCAAGGTCCACACTATCTTTCCCATAATTCTTGTGTCATTCACTGGTCCCATACTCAGTTGAAAATGCAGATATGCACAGCGCAGCCAAGACATTCCCCACACAAAAGCAGGGAATTTGTGATATTTGGGGCCCAGGTAATTGACAAAATAAGAGATGGTGACAATTTTCTGAGGTTTTCCTCCTTTGGTGTATACTCCTCCAATGAGACTAAAACTATTGAAGCATTTTCTGCATCACATGAATGTTCCCGGTCTTTGGACATAGCAAGGAGTCCCAACAGACATATAATGGAAATTTTCATGTTGTCTCTTAAAATCAATGTAATACAGATGTTCACATTCACACAGATTCAAATGACTATTGAACACCAATGCATACAGTATTCAAATTTGTACATGAAATATGGAACAAGGGCTTGTAGCCAGAAGAGATTTCCAGAGACTGGAAATTAGGGAATGAGGAGATCCTGTCTGTCAGATTTAGCTGTGAGCAGTGTCATCCTCAACAAAATCATATGCTTCCTCTCGGGTCACGCATTCCACATGACTCACCTAAAATGAAATGACACCATTCATTGATAACTACAGCTCTCAACATGCAAATGGAAGCTCAGGCATGCGAGAGAGAGATACCAGACCTTGTTCCGGAATTTCACACCATAGAACTTATTGGCATGCTCCAACAGTTCAGGTCTAAAAGTAGTTGTGATGAACTGGGCATCCTTGGAAAGTTCATGAATCATATCTGCCACTGCCTTACGATGTTGGGCATCTAGGGCCTAAACCATAAAGTATGGGGAGAAAAGTCTGGATAAGTTCTGATGTGAGTGGGACCCCAATTTCTACATCCAGGTAGACCAACTCCCATATCTTACCTGATCAATTTCATCAAAGAGGTAAAAGGGAGCAGGGTCACATTTCTGAATGGCAAAGATGAGAGCCAATGCAACAAGTGATTTCTGCCCTCCAGAAAGCTGGTTCATCTCTCTCATCTCAGCATTCCGACCAGAGAATGACACCTTGATGCGAACCCCAGTAAATTGGTCTGCGTTCCCAACTTCCCCCTGCACAAAAAGTAAGCAAACATTAGCATAATTCTTTTAATTAAAAATCAGCAGGATACTTATGAAGATGAAAGAATCTAGCAAATGATGGTTATCTGAGCAATGTAAATATGGAAATCCCATACCATCTCTTAGATAATGAATGTCTGGAGTATGATTCTATCTCTATACAGTGATGGACCATTTCACTTTTTCTGATGTGAAATGTAAGAAAATAAAGCTCAAACTAATTTATCAGAGAAAAAGTGCACTAGTCCAAATGAATGTGAGGAACTAGGACTCTTTCTCAAAATGTGCTAAGGTCTACCAGTATTGCATTCCCTTTCCCTTCCCATTCATCATTTACAAGGACAGGATATGTAAGTGCAGCCTGGGCTTGGAGGAGGTCCATCCATATTGGTGATTTTAAGGTAAAAAAAAAAATTATTTTTGCTGATGAAACCACCAGGTCAAGCAGCTACTACTTGGAATCCAGAGATCTCAAGCTGTGTTCCAACACATTTGCTCTTGACTTGTCCCCCCCCAACATTCCCAAAAAGAGTCTCCCAGTCCAAGATTACTAATAGAAGACTGGTAGGTAAATCTCATACATAATGGAATAACTTTTCCCTTAATTTTTGCCTGAGGAGGCACAAACTGAGTCAGATTCATTATTCAGGACTGGAAACAAAGAAGGATACATCTGGGTGTTCCTGAACTCTGACCCGTTTGAAGAGGAATGAGCATGATTGAAAATGCATGTAAGATACAATTGTCATGAGTTGAATAAAATAAAAATGAGATTTGATCAAACAAGACAAAAAGTTTCCACTCAATGCTTCCATAAGTATTATTGCTGACCTGACCATGGTGTACCAAATTTCCTCTGGTTTGCAAAGGCACCTTTGGGGGCATAATGATATGAATCAAAAGGGAGAAAAACAAGCAGACTGACCTCATCTTCTGGCTCTGAGGCATCCTCTCGGTCTGTGCGCATGACCAGCTGCGCATTCCCACTTGGCACAAGGGTCTTGAACACTTCAGCAAAAAACCGGGACACTTGCTTAAATGTAAACTGAATAGCTTCATATTTCCGGTGCTCCAGAGCATTCATCAGATCCTGCAGATGAATAGGGTGAAGATGACATCTCATCTCACAGTCAGTCTATGTCAGCAGATTGAGGACAATGGAAACTTTTTAGACTTGCCTTGATGGAATCATGAGCACGGTTCAATTCATCCTGCCGTGACACTAGCCTCTCTTTCTGGTCAGAGAAACTAACAAACTGGTCCAGGGCTTTCTTATTTACATGGCTGTACTTTTTTAATTCTGCATTGGCCTTGTCCAGTTGCTTGAAGAGCTTCATGAGAAAACCATAAAATAGCATGACAAGATGCAGACCAGAAAGATACCTTCAAAAGATTGAAAAAAAAAAAAAGCAGATGCACAAACCTGCTTGCTGCTAAGAGTCTGATACTTGTCAAATGCATCTGATGGGAGAGATCCAAGCTCATGGATCTTCTTTGTACATTCAGCAATCTTTTCCTGGTAAACACTCTGCTTTGAGGCCATCTTCTCCAGACCCCTAGCATCCTCTTCCATTTGGTCTTGAGCTTCCCTCTCTTTTGCCTTCCACTTGTCAAGCTCTTGTTGAGTGCTTTTCATCTATGTGAGTAGCAAATTCATCATGACATCACAGCATGACTAAATACAAGAGCCAGATTTTTAGTTACATAAAACACATATTTGGTGGCAAAAGGATACCTTTTTACTGAGATCAGTGACTTTCTTTTCTGTATCTTTCAACTGAGATGTGACATCTTCATCTCGCTTGTTGATGGACTTCAACTCAGACTGGCAATTCTCCAAATGTCGTCGCCTGTCCTCTACCGAGATCTCTTGAAGAGCCTGCAAGAACATAACATTTTGGTACCAAAGACTCCCCTTCCATTAAATTTGTAATGGGTAGGCCAAAATTCTAAAAAATCCACAAGTAAGGCAAACCTGGACCAACTCTTCCTTCCGACGGTTCAGATTATTCATTAGAAGGTTCTCAATCTTGTTTTTCTCTGCTTCCAGCTTCATGCGAGCTGCAAATGCTTCTTTGTTCTCTTGGGTGAGGGTGCGAATCTCATCATTAAGTTTGTCAACCTCTCTCTGATCTGCAACTGATAGCTGTGGCAGCAATTCCTGCAGAAGGAAGAAAAACAAGTGAAAAAGTATGATGACATAAAGACAACAATCAAGATCAAGTCTACCCACCTGATGAAGTTCTGATTCTAAGCCCATCTTAGTGGTCTCCATAGCTTCCAGGTTTTCCTTCAGTTGAGAGAGGGATCTCTCACGAGGCTGCTTGGACCTATCAATGTTGCTCAACTCCTCCCTCATGAGCCGAATGTCCCCTTTCATCTGGTCAAATATGGCCCTGAAAAAGGAGACAGGTATGAAAGCATTCACTTGCAACACCCCACAGGAGTGCAATTTGATCCCAACATACTTGGCCTTGCTGTTCTTGGTCTCAGTTTTCTGCATCTCAGAAACGAGCTTGTTGATGTCAGTTTCTGTGGCTGTGAGATCCTGGCGCATTCTAAGCAACTTCTCCTCTGCTTCTTTTACCTGAGTGACAAGTTCTGATCGATTCTTCTGGGTATCCAGTCTGGATCGAGATGTGTTGAAATGGCCCCCTGTGATGGGACCTCGACAAGACACCTGCACACACAACCCAAACCTCCTACTTCCATGTCCACCAGTAAAGAGTAACAAAAGTGGTCGGTCCCTAATATAACATGACAGCTTCACCTGGTCTCCATCGAGAGTAATGCAGTCCAACTGAGCACTTCTTGCAAGCTGTGTAGCAACTTCCAGGTTGCGACAGATCAAGGTCCGACCAAAAATGTGTTTCATGGCCACATCAAACTTGGCATCAAACTGCAACTTTGAGACCATGGGTATGGCATCCTGAAATTTTATAAAGAGGAACATTAAACAACGTTACAGGCAGAGTTCTTCTGGTGAATAGGAACAAGTCAACTCACCTTTGTCTCAGGATATCTAATTTCTTTTCTAATGAGCCGGTTGAAGGGCATGAATGTGACCTCTCCACTCAGCTTTTGACGGTTCATTTCTTTCAAAATATGGGTGGCTACTTCATCCGATTCCACCACATGATGGAAGAGCCTAAATTAATGTACCATGAACCAGCATGCTGCTAACTCTCATAATATATTTAATAATGATATTTAAACTCACCTATTCCCAGCAGTGACTTCAACTGCAGTATAGATGGACTTCTCACATTCAAAGTTTTCAATGACCAATCCATAATAATTATTAGCAAAGTTGGCTGAATGACCACCCTTCTCACGGAAGGTCTCCAGAACTTTATGAACACTGTCCCTGCCATTCAGGATTGCCTGTTATAAGAAAAATGGATTGACATGAGAAGAAGCACTGATGGAATTCCCAACAAGGGGAGTGGGATTGAAGCAATGAAGTAGGAATTTAGTCACTCACCTTCCCAACCATGGAACGAAGAGACTGCTCTGCCCTGGACAGATCTTCTTTCAGGGTTGCCACATCCTGCTGAAGTTTGTTCTCCTGCCTCCAGAACTCACTTCACAATCCAAACAAGATACTTTAACAATGGTGAACATCACCAGGGAAGCCATAAGAGATTTGGGTCAACAGGGAAATCCAAGTTAAGTGAGCTCCAAAAACGTCAACACTTTAAAGAAAAGTGGGGTGAAAAAAAAAACAAGGTTCTTCCCTGTCCACTTCTGGGGTTTTGCTCACACAGAGCAAAGAAAAAAATTTATTATATAGATGAGAAAATCAAATTACTGCTCTGACATGCATTTAGTCTCTCTTAAAGAATTGAAACTCTCACAAGTGTCCTGAGGCTAATGGACCAGCCTACATCAGACCCTGTTGTATGATCAAAAGAATTTTTCCATTACTATTAATGCATTCTTGAAGTAAGAATTTATTTTTTTGTTCAGAACAGAACAAATACCTAAGCTCTTTGCAGCCAGAGATGTATGAACATGCATTTCTCCTAATTACGTTCAGATCTCCCTCTAAACAATGTCATGGGATCAGGGATTGCTAAGCCCAACAAAACAGTTAGGCCTTCAATCAGTAGGAAAAGAGTAAGTTGAGAAGTCTGAAAATGGATCTTGATGCATCCTCTCCCTATTTTGAGTCACATGATCCAACTGTAATTAACCCCATAGGCTGTCACTTCATGAGGAATGAACCATTAACTTATGTATTTATCAGTGCAATGTTTGGTGATAAGGAGGCCTTTACTCCAGATACAAGAGTCTTCCACAATGACAAGGCTTTCAAAGAAAGGGCTGGATGGATGTGAATCCTCACTGGTACTGATGCATAAATTGGATCCCCAAGAAAACTGTAGACTTTATGGAATATGGTGCAACCCCATGCATTGCATGGCTGTGTGAAAACACTGCTGATGAATTATTTTGGTGATAGTATAATAAGCAGACATTTCCCTTAAGCAAGGTCCCCCATGGTCCGCAGATCTGACTCCACTTGATTTCTGGTTGTGGGGATACCTCAAGTCAGTTGTGTATCATGCAGTGCCTGCTACCTTAACTGACTTGAAAGATGGCATCCATCATCATATAGTCTAGTTGAACATTAGAAAACTTTGTTCAGCTGTCTATCATGTCATCTCACAAATGCAAACCAAAGTGGACATGAATGGTAGTCACATTGAGGAGATCTTGGACCATTGATGGCCATTGTCATTGACCATGGAAATGTGTTCCCTGAGGTCTCAAAAGTGTGTCCACCAAATATTACTGCTCTAGGAATAGTATTCAAGTTACAGATGTATGAACACACTGAGAAACTTTACAAGAACCCTGTGCTTTGTGACCCTTGGCAATGGCTCAGTTTACCCATCCTTTGGACCAACCCAGTTGTCCTAAATGGAAGATAAAGAGGTTTGAATGAAGGGTGGAGGAGGATGAAGAGGAGAACAGAGGTTCACCAATTCATAGCAGAAGAATGAATAAAACCAAAATGCTGCAGGAACATGCAAGAACAGAAAGAAAATTATGAAAAATCATTGTTTCCAAGTTAAATTTTACAAATTGATGAGAGGAAACAGGAAGATGATATAACCAACTTTCTCTTATGGAATAGCTCTTGAGCCTCCTCTTGGCTTTATATATTAAGGATGAGATGTTCAACATACTATTGTGCTTGCAATTTCTGATTCTCAACAGCATCCTAATTGGGGTTTGAAGAATGATAGGGTATGGTGTGCATGCAGGATGAAGACATGAGGATTTAAAGGGTCAGACACATGGAACAAATATCTGAGGCTTAATATCCTGCCATTCAGAGCAAAAGCCACAGGCATAAAAAAAAATTTTAGAAGTCACATGGCCTTTATACAGGCATACACATTTACTGGGGCTAGATTTTCAAGGTATGACATGTCATGAGCACAAAAGGGCATTCTTGATTTCCTTTTCAATACAGCTAGGACTAAGGAGAAAGAAAACAGCCTTGAGTTCTGACCTAAAAAAAATTTGCTGATTACCCAATTCATTGCAAACAGTAAAAAAAAAAAGTGAGCAATCCACAGTCATGATTTAAAATTTGGCACTTTTAATCCTCTGAAGCCAAATAAATATCAACGATGGACAACACCACTCAACTAATTTCATTTTGTAAGCAGCCCATCTTTAGGAACAAAGGAACATTTATGGCCTGTAAAAGTTCTGCAGGGAAAATTAAACCCTTTATAGGACAAAACTCTGAGATATGAAAATAAATTATTTTGTGTCAAACCCACTTAAAAAAATTGCATTCCCCACACAGAAGTGATAAGTTGATGATTTCAAATATTTTTAAATAAAAACATTTGGAGAAGTGGGCTAAGACAATAAAGTTCATTTGGAATAAAATTTCAGAGGAAAGTGGCCCATAATGACAAATGGTAAGTATACTCACCAGTAACCTATAAAGGGTTAAAGTGAAATAAATAATAAAAAGTAACGATAAAATGTCATGTAAAAAGTAAAGCAATGAGCAAAAAGAGGGATCCATATGAAAAAGTAAAACTTTGTCTGGGTTAGGTTGCCTATCTTTGAAATTCATTTGACTGTGCCTCTGACCCATTTGTATCCATGCAGATCCTAATCTCAAGGCCTGCAGTGGTTGGGTGCATGACTAAACATTCATGTCAACCAGATTAGAAGCACGAATACAGGAATACAGGACAATGAAGAGGAGAAAGCAAATGCATGCCAGTTGAAAGTTGAATAAATGTATCTTACTTTCTCTCTGACTGCAACTGATCTTTCTTCTTCTTCATCTCATAATACTCCTTGTTGTGATCATCTATGCTGCTTCTGTGTTGCTCCATATCATTTGTGTAGGTCTGGCAAAAGAAGGAAAATGAAGGACTTTCATGAACACTGGATTCAAGGATAAATCACTTTAACCTCACCTGCAACCATCTCAAATACTTCACATATTCATCAATGCTTTTCTAAAGCAAAAAAATTCTAAAGCAAATAGAGCAAAACTTCAGAATATTGAATGAACAGAAGCTTCCAAGGGCTGCACCTAACTGAATGACTGGAAAAGGCCTTGCCACATAATTCATGCAACTGGTAACCTTGCTGAGAAAAATTTTAACAAACTGAAATGGAAGAGATGAAACAAATCAGTCTCACCTGAATCTGATCCTGAAGTTTCACCTTCTTGTCCGCATCTCTCTCTATATCCTCTGTCAATTTTTCGATTTGCTCCCTTTTGTCTGAAATGGCCTTCCGCAGAGACCTACAAAATTAGGATAAATGCTTCAATGGATGATGAACGTACAATTAATTATGATTTGTCCCTTCAGGGCATAATATCATCATTACAATGAGCTCCTCAACTAACTTGAGCTGTTGCTGGATCCATTTATCACGATCCTCCTTAGAAGTGAACTGACTTCCTCTTCCTTGCTTGGCGTATAACTCCTTCCTTTTCTGCTCTTTCAGTGCCAAACTGTATACAGAAGAAAATAAAACATTATTTTAATTATACTAAACATGCAAGATAGGTAGAGAAAGCAGTATTAGAAAAAAAAAAGAGAAACAAAGTTGCCTCACTCTCTGGTGCATTTCTCTTCTTTCTGTTTCATCTCCTCATATTTTGGTCTCAGTTCTTCAAGGGATTTCTCCTGCAGTTCTATTTTCTTTTCCAATGTTGCTAACTCTTGTTCAGCTCTTTCCTGAATAAGGGAATAGACATAAATAACATTAAAATTCACTCACAGGCATGAATACTTAAAGCAAAGCAACAATGCTCACTTTAGACTTATTATCCCCATAAACTTCATCTGTGAGATCTTTGATTTGCAGTTCCAACTTAGTCCTGTCTTTGAGGAGCTGCTGATGCTCAGCATTCAGAGTATCTCTCTCCTCTTTCACACTATTCAGCTTCTGCTTGCAATCCTTCAAATCCTTACTCCAGCTCTTTATGTTATCTTGGGCTTTGGTAAGGGCCATGCGAAGCTTCTCCTGTTCCTTCCCCGATGACTGGCGTGAATGCTCCATCTGGAGGAGAGGAAAGGGTAGTAAGTTCAACCACAAATAGAAAAAGAAAACCTTGCTACTAGATTTCCCAATGAAGAAAGCAAGAATTTGATGTGCGGCTAACTTAATGATGTTATTTATATATATTCTGCTTTGGTTTGCATGACTAGAACTACTGGACAGTAGGACATATCAAAATGAGGCTAATTATGAAATGACCAACATGCTCAAAGTGGATGCATGGATGTGAATGTTTCATGCCTGACAAATGCATGTCAGGCATGAAACATCAAAATTTGGATAATTTGTTTGTGGCATACAGATGTAATATGATCAAATAAAGCCAATAAGATTGGACAAGGTTTTCATCTTCTGCTTTAGCTCTTCCTACTACACAGCTTCAAGAATTCAATACAAAATGGAGAGCCAGTTTCAGACTCAATAGCAAAGTGATACATAGGATGAGTGGTTACTTGAGAAGTGGTGCTGTTTGCTGGTTGGCATGATATGTAATTTAAAAGTGAAGAAATGTTCTCAAGTTTAAATGTTTTGCATCTAAAAAAAACTAGGCCGATAAAAGAAAATTAGAGAGAGAGGGCAGATGACAAATCAATCTTGTAGACTGTCAAGTAGAGGCATAAAAGACTCACTTCTTCCAACTTCTTTCGTGTCTCTTTCAATTCTCTGTCATGAATGGTGTACTCCAGAGACCTCCTCATCTTGTCCCATTTCTGATATTCTTTTAGCTCTTCCTTTTCCTCTTCAAGTGTCCTCAGACGCTCCTCAATGGTACGTAAGAACTCCTCAATCTTCTCCCTCCTCCCCTCAGTCTCTAAGCATTGCACAAGGAATTTATATTACCAAATGAAAATAGCAACATGGCCAATGAAGACTCAAGGACTGACCTTTCAAGATTGTCATAGATTCCTGTCTTCTCTCATCATATACTCTAGTGCCTGCCACTTCTCTCAAGAGTTTCAGTCGTTGGGAATCTGGTGCAATGGCCATCTGGTTGATCTGGAATAGTGACAATGACTTCATATCAGCAACCATGGTTGTGAATTGTCTTGAATGAGTCAATAGTCAACACTGAGGTTTCTACATTTAACAACTGATGGAAACAAGAAACTTACCTTCCCTTGCTTCACTATATAGTACGGGTTTGAGCGGGAAAAGCCAGCAGACTCGAGGAGGTTCATAATGTCAGATCTTGTGACACATTTCTTATTCAAGAAATACTGATCCTTCTTAGAACCAATCACTCGTCTCACAAACACTTCCTCTTTGTCAATCTGAAATGGAAGTTTTTAAAGCATTTGTTTATTTTTTGAGCAAGAATAGGTAGGAATAAAATCAACAGGACAAAAAACTTAGGTACAGGTAATAACATGGCATAGGTATATTCTCAGTACTGAAGCAAAGGAAGTCAACTTACTGGGAGCCTTTGGTCAGTGTTGTCAAAAATAATCTCAACAAAGGCAGATATGACACGTGGACCAGTTCCCTCATGTAGAAGAGCCTGCCTCTGTTCAGGTCGAAGGTATGAGAATTCATCACTGAGGACAAACTGGATTGCTGCAAGCACACGAACAGAATGTTTCCAATGGGAAGATAAAAACTAGAATACCTGCAGACTATCATAAAAATGGACAAGGACCTACCTTGAAAAAAGTTACTCTTGCCAGAGCCATTGCGTCCCACTGCAAAACAAAAAATACATCTCAGGAATTCTTGTTGGATATGTGAATGCCAGAATCAGAATCTATTCCTTTCACTTATGACAGTCTGGGCACACATTGATGAATAAGATTCCTGAATATATCAAAAGACAGTGAATGCCATTTGTCAGGAGAAACATGAGAGGCTTTCCTTATTTTGAGCATGCAGTGAAACACATGAGGAAAGATTTTAAGAAAGGACATGTAGCACTTATTACCAGACCTAAGCTAGACAATTCCAATAACTATATTAGGCTTGAATTGACAATAGGTAGCAAAAGCCTCAAATATAAACTTGAACTATGGGTGAGAAAATAAGTGGATTTTTCCAAGAGAAAGTGGTTTTTCCTAAATTTTCATCCACTTCAAGCTAGGAAAAAGTAAAGAAAATTCATATCAATTTGGTGAGTGAAGAAGAGGATGTGTTCATTTCACATAGTTTCCCATTAGATTCAGCTCTTCAAGGAAGGAAGGGAGAATTAAAGAGTCTTGGTCTGGCAGGCCAAGTGTACCATTGAACAAAACAAACATTGATTGTGTAACAACTTGTGGTCAAAGATAGATATACGAGATATAGATATACCTCTGTTGCACCATGTAGGAACTGACCTTGTTCTAGGACTTAGTAAAGTTACTCATGAATTTTCAAATTGTTTATACACATCCTCCAGCATTTTGGTAGGCTGACTGGAGAATCTGGAAAATTCCTTCCAAAGTTGAAAGTGAACCATCAGTCTAGAACTGATGGTTCAGAACTGCATTCCAAGAATTATCTTCAAGATCAAATGTTTGGCACATTTTGACTATAACAATGAAATTAACTCCATGGCACTCAAACCTGAGTAGTCCTAAATTTTCAGGGACCAGTATCAATTATCACTTCTGGCATATGCCACTACATATACGAGAACCTAATCCTGTGAGGATTTTTTAGCACATGACGATTTGAGGTATACTCACCAACCACATTGTGCCGAGGATCAAATGGCTCTATCACAGTTTGTTCTCTATAGCTCTTGAACCCCTGGATGATCACCTGTAGGTATATGAGGAACAATCAGGTACATAAATATTTTATCTTCATGGACTAGATCTGGGACCTCTGATCAGAACCATTTCAAGATTTAAAAAAAGCAGCAGTCCCATGATGAAATGTTCTAATGGAATTTCTCCTTGGTTAACCTAATGAGACAATACATTTCACTGAGAGATTTGCATCACATCATCAATTACCAGACAAAAGGGAAATACAAATTAACAAATGGATCCCCTTTACTAATATCAAAACAGGGAATAAATATGCCACTGTAATAGACCAAATGCTTAACTGGAGCAGTACGATAAGTTTAGAGCATTAAGATGAGGGAAGGGGAATGGGGGGAGAGAGTGAGCAGCCAAAGGGACAAAAAAATTAAATCAGGAACAGACATAACATTGACATAGAAAGAGTTAATTTTTGGGCTTCCAAAAGAATCTGGAAGTCCACCTTAGGTTTCCTGGGATGGAACAACTAATAAGCATAAACACTTCTTGCACCATTCAGACTATAGGGGCCTCAATTGGCTGCTGATAGTTCAAAAATGGAAAAAACAGTTCCAATGCCTCAAAAAAGCACAAGAGAATGCAGGCACATATGTGAATGTGACAGTGCATTCTGGCATCAGACTTTCCTGTAATTTTTTCTGGGCTGTTTTAAGTTTCCCTCCAGCAAATGATTGATATTTGTCTCGTATATCAATGAAGTCAGATACGAGAATGAGTTTGCAATTACAAGAATTTCCTCTTCCTCTTAGTTTGCATTGATAAACAGGCTGAGGTGGATCACTTAACATGTTGACTGCCATGGCAATGCTGGCCTATTGATTTTCCCATTCAGTGAGACGCACCGGTGAGCCTCGTGGCAGTCAACCTGTTAATGGAAGAAACTTAGGCCAAATCCCTACAAGCAGAAATGCCACTGCAAGAGACCTTAGAATGTAAATTTTTTGGTTGTCACTCTAAAAATATGAACTTATGAAAATTCCCTAGCCTTTACCTTCATAGATAAAAACTTTGGAGGCAACATTCTCATAGATTAAAATAATTCTTAAAAAACTGAATAGGTGGATCAAAAGGTAGTTGGCAACTGAATTTAAGACAGAGTAGAAGAAAGAATAGAAAGGGGGAGAGCATAAGAGAAAGCATCTTGCGGTTATCCCAAGAAGACAATCAGCACAAGACCACAACTCACTATGCCAAGAATTTATACACAGGTTGCACTGCCACTTCATCTGCACATCAGAATCAACACCTCAATAACTCGATTAGGCCCACAAGCACACTGAATGCATGTTCAGACTCCAATTATTGAATTAATAATATTCAAATGGTGTGAATTCCTCCGTGATCTTATAAAAACTATCAAGCTGCACCCAGATTCTCCCTCCATGGACCTGAGTGAATCCAAATCTTGATGACCCATTGATATTAGGCAAAGACGAGAATTCCGGCTTGGGGCAGGTGTGTTGGAGTCAGGTAAGAGAAAATTTTTGGCCGAGACAAGACCTACCACTTCACAGGCGACACCTGACACCGAACCGAACCGTGCTAGGGAAAAAAGCAATCTTACCTGCTTTATATACATGGTTAGGACCTAGATGTAGCAAGTCCACTCAGAGAAGGCCTAAACATGTAGGCCTAATGTTGGGTCAGTCATAGAAGTTCGATGGGATTTCGCCAATCGCCGCTTGCAACCGTCTTAGGTCTGTTGTGAAGTCCCTCGTGTCTGCACGACGACGCGATTGAGACAGAGTTGCCAGCACTGCTGATGGACTTCCTCAGATTTTTCTCCATTTTCCAGAATTAAAGTAGGCTCGGTAAACTTTAATTCTGAAAATTAATTAAAACCATCAAAAAATTAAAACTTAATTTAAAATCTTAAAGCCTAAAATTGTTTGGATTGGCGAAATGTACATATTCCATGGAATGTAAAGGTGGGTTGCTGACACAGCTGACACCTAGCGCCGCGGTGATGGGGCTTTCGCGATGGAAGTCTCAATAAAGATTGACGCGCCATGAGTGTGTTCGTGATTCCAGCCAGATACCGCTTGCTAAAAGAGGTATTTGTAAGATAGGGTGACCAGATCCGGTTTTACCAGGACAGTTTCGGTTTTAGCCTATGTCCTGATTTGAAATCTGTTCCGGTTTGAGGGGGGGGGGGGCCTTAGGCATGTGCCACATGTGCCCCCGCACAGGGCGCAAATTTGCCAGGTGCGTCAAAACGTACCAGAATAAATGAACAATAATGGTTGCCACCCTCAGTTTCACTTCAGAAACTGGAAATGCCTCCCGTTTCGACGTCTTCTTGAATGCTAGGAATTGACCTCCCTTCGGGGTGAGTGGGAGGGAGGGCAGCGTTGGGAGTTTCTTTGCACTGGGCGCCGAAATAGCCAGGGCCGGTCCTGAAGTGAGGGAACAACAAACTCCCTTGGCTCCTTTGTTTTATGTCAAGTTTAGTTATTGGGGGGGGGGGGGGGGGGGGGGGGGGGGGGGGGGGGGGGATGCAGAGAACCTTATGATGAACTAAAATTCATTGAATTCCTGGGGGAACACGAGGAAGTAAAACAGTCAATAAATCTTTGTATAGAATTTCCTTTCCATTCTGGTGTCTCTGTTTCTTCGCATTGCAATAATTAGCATTTGGGCATTTCCTTGGAAATATTCTGTTGCTTTCTGGAAAATTTCTGGTCAACTTATTGTAAGAGGTTATTGCAATCGTTCTCAATCATCAATCAACCGTCCAGTGGCGTATTTTGCGGGGCAAGAGGGGTGGCACCCCCTACCCCCGGCCCCTCTGGAACAGAGTCTGGCGCCCCCTTGTATTAATAGTAATTTTCTCCCCTGATATCGCTCGGGTGGGGTTTGGCGCCCCCGCGCTGTTGCCCAGCCTTCAGCCAAAATACGCCACTGCCTCATTCGCATGATTGATTAGGCTCCATTAGGCTTTGATTGCTTCATTACTCAATTTTTAGTGCGCGTTTAGTGAATTGAAAATTTGAAAGGGGTACCTGTTTGCCGTTCACAAAATAACTGCTGCAACTGATAAAGAAATTTGGTCAGATAGGTATTGTCGGAAGCCATGTCCTTAAGTCTTGCCGATTTCATCTATCAATTATAAACAAGACTGTTTCTTGCTGCTGTTATTGTGTAAGATTTCCCAATCCCGAGCATGGCTTTCGGCAACCTTATTGGCGAAAGCTATGTCATCAAGCCAGCCGACTTCATAATCAGTGTCTTCGTTACTCAAGAATCATTGTGCCCACAAAATAGTCGATGAAGTTGAAAGAGGAAAGTAAGGGAAGAGAAGAGCCAGTATAGCAGTGGACTCAATATGACGCGGTTGTTCAGAAATCACAGACATTAACAAAGCAGCATTATTTTGTAGGTTTTTTTTTATTTAGTGGCGAGAGAGAGATGCTTATTCTCAGCCTTTTTTCTACTCGTTTGGTTTTTATTCTCAAGCGACAGTCGGTACATGCCACGAGAAATAGGACCACTCTTCTTTTGCATGATTTCAGCAGGGCTTCGGGACGGATTTTTTTTCGTTCCGCGTTCCGTCCAGTTCCACCTGATCCCCGAGTGTTTCGGTTTCTGTTCCGTTCCACAATTATTCATTTTGTTCCGTTCCGTTCCACTGTATAGGGAAAACCTTGAGAAATTACATTTAAAAAAACTGGGCTGTAAATTCAATTAGATTAATCTACCGATTAATTGATTAAAGTATTATTTGCGATTAACAAAATTAGTCGAAATTAATCGAAAATCGACATCCCAATCTCCTCTTTTTGCCTCTTTTTCCCCGAGAAATTTAACTGTGAGTTCATAGTTTTGCAAAACAACCGAAAACGAAAGATTTATGAAGGGAATGATGGCTTATAAAAGGGAGTCATTTTCGCACTGCTCAATATTCCTCAGAAATGAAATACTATTTTTTTTTAAATGGGAACACTCAAATACAAAAACCATCGCTTCCTGACCTATTCGCATCCGCAAGTGTACTGGCGTGCATCCCGTGTCCTTCCGCCAAGCCTATGGCCTAGAAAGACCTCGCGCGTCAGGCTGAGGTAGCAGAGGCGTAGGATAAATCGACCGAAAAGTCACTGGATGCAAATGGGGAAAAGAAAATCGTAATGAAGAAGCTGCAAGGGAACGCGCAGAAGGAATATGGAATTTGAGTGGGGACATGGGACAGGAGAGGCAGGAAAGAGCATAATGTAAAGACGGGAGTGAGAGCCATACGTGTAACATACGCCGGCGAAGGTCTGTGAGAGTACCCAGAAAGTAACCGGAGGAGGGGGAAACCCGGAAGCAGGCGAGAAATGAGGAAACGAAAGGGAGAAACCCTCTACTGTTTTGCGTTTTCTGTTCTTCCATCCTGTGTTGCCCGTGAATCGATAATAATCTCTAAATCCCCACGTAATGAAGAGTCACTGTATACTTCCAGACATGTAGGTTACATTTTTATTAATATATCCTTCCGGGATGGGTTGGCTAAATAGCAAAAGGCCTCAGTGCGTTTCTTTGCGTAATTCCATGATTTATCTGGCTAAGTTGTTATTATTCTCTCTCCGATTGGAATGTGTCACATCTAGATTGAACTAGTGTGTGCATGGATAGTAACTGCTGCATGCGACTGCATCGAATCGAGTCATTTCCTAAGGCTCGACTAGGTATTGGGCATGACAACGGAACCATGCCCTAAATCTAGGACATGTTTGAAGGGGGAACTAAGGGATCGATGAAGAACCGAAGAAACGTTAGTCTTCCTTCATCACCATTGCAAAGGAAAAGATGGTCAAGGAACGGAACGAAACGAAATAATTTCGTTTTCAGGAGTAAGCAATTTCGTTCCGTTCCGGTTTTTCGTTCCTCCGCCGCCAGTGAATAGCGTTCCATGTTCCGGCTTTTTGTTCCGGTTTTTCGTTCCGGTTTTCGTTCCGTTCCGAAGCCCTGGATTCCAGTCCGAGAATGAAATCAGCAAAAGCTTCGTGTATGTCCAAAACACACTAACAGTTCTGATCACAGGTACTGATCAACAGGTGTGGTGTAGCTTGGTTAGGCTTCTGCCTCCACAACTCTGATCGAATTGTATGCACAGCAAACCAGGAAGACTCTAAGAGAGTGACGCAGCCTTAGGAAAGAGGGCGTCCAGGGAAGCGGGATTGTGCCTCCCGAAGGCGCTCTGCTCTGCTCCACTGAGATAGAGGTGAGACCTTCTATACCTCAGTGCTCTGCTCACCCTGGATGGGTGCATCTTCTATGATCATAGAAGTGTCTCGCCAGGAAAGGTTTCGCTCAGGACCTTCCCTGCACATGAAAGTAAAAACACCCGCTATTTTAGCATCCACCCCCCTCCCTCCATCGAAAAGACAATGCGTACTGGAGTCTCGGGATATTTCAGCCTCCCCCTTTCGTTCTTCCTAATGTTTTAATCCCTCTGATAAAATCTTCGTGACACTTCTGATCCAACACCATGAAAAAAATCTCATGTACTCATTAGAAGCAAGATAATTAAATTATATGCTGCTCCATTGGAAACCCTTCACGGGTCAGAAACTTCAGCTATAGCTTGATTTAGGGAGGAGAGTGGATGTACATTTTCGAATCTTTTACTTGGAAGAGAGACGAAAAACTTGAACCGAGGTTGCATGCACAGTAGAGCTCATATGGGCAGATTATGGAGAAAATGTCCAAAATGGCTGTGTGGGAAGCATTCCTCATTCCAGTGTTTCTCGACAGGCGCGTCAGCGAAGTTCAAGGGCCTATTCCTCGTATTTTCTAAACTTAATATAAATCTAACTCAATAACTAAACTTGACATAAAACAAAGGAGCCAAGGGAGTTTGTTGTTCCCTCACTTCAGCACCGAATTTCAGCATTTATATTATATTTAGATTCAGATTAAGTTGAGATCTAGATTAAGTTTAGCAGAGGGAAGGAACAAGCCCCAAATATGAGCCGCGAGATTTGAGCTTTGCAAGGGGAAAAATGCGAGAATAAACTTTTTTTCACTAAGCTAAGGCCGCAAGGGCCAAGGCGAGGGTTAAGTCTGCACCGCAAAATTTACGTTCAGCATTCCCTCTCGCTCTGCGGAGCAACAACCCAGGAACAATTTAAAGGAATTCAGAGTGCCAGAAAAAAAGAGAAAGGAGCTCGAAAGGGGGCAACTTCTCGAAATAGATTGGGATTTAAGTTGAGGACCACTGCCTAGATCCTTATGTATCTCTCCATGAAGGGAATATGGCTGCTTCTTGTTATCAGTAGTGTGCCGCGTAAGGTTTAACTTCTTTAGT